GCCGCCTAAAGTGCGCGCTCGACAACAATCGTTTCAGGACCCAACTGAAGAAAAAGCGGGGAAATATGGGACAAAAATTACAGAAAGAAAGGCATTCCGCCGCAAAAACACAACATCTGGCCTGATAGTAAAAACAGAGCATAAAGCTCGACAACGGCCTGGTACCAGACAAATCAGAACAAAAAAGAAGGAAACAGACGCTCGGTACCTGGATGGAAAACGGTAAGAAGTTCTGCCTGTTTCCAATGGCTCTCTCTGTCGTACTATCCGTCGTGTGACCAACGACATCGAAGATGGACCATGCCTAAACGAAGCGCGGCGCGCTAGGGGGCAACACTCACACCCATCGGTAACCTAAAGAAAATACGTAAAGAAGGAAAGAAACAGATAGAAAAATCACAGAACACACTCCCTACTACGCATGCCAACGAACAACCCTACTAGACCCTCTCAACTTACCCTACCTACTCCACCAAAGAAGGAATAACAAAAAAGGAAGTGTAGTACGTAACCGCGGGGCAACCAAAGGACGTAAGGCAAACAGAGCATGAATAACGACAGAGTGTCACTGAAGAGCCTGCGCGGCACTAAGTGGCGCGCGTATAACAAGGTACGGGAGAGGTTATCCTGTCGGAGGCCGGTCTGGAAACTGCTCAGGGCTCCTGTCGGCGAACGGAGAGGCCATCATTGATGACCCATGGGCACTTGGACCATATCCTGCTTAAAACCGTGCTTCATTCCATTTGCCGTCCTTCATCGTCGTCCTGCTGATGGTACCTTCCAGCATCTTGCTCGGCAACTCCTATCCTTCTAGCACGGCTGCTCTCCGCTTTGTACTAGGGGGTGGTGGGCGAACTAAAGGGGCAAAGCCTCAAGGGCCCAAGTGCGCTTATTGCACCAAAGAGGCTAACCATACGGCCCCATGTAGCACTACGCCGGGGATAGAGGTCACTACGGGTCACAATTGGGCCAATCTTATACTACGGACTAAACTACTAAACTAAACTACGGACTACAGGAGATTAAACTACGGGGACAAACTAATACCGGTTGTAGGGAAAACTAAACTACAGTAGAGCGAAGAAAAGAGGTGGTGTGAAAGAAAAACTAACAGGGTACGGATCCCAGGAACCCCTAGTACCAATCCAAACCCATACCCAGCCCCAAACTCAAACTTACCTAGAAAACACAAAAATACAAAAGCCATAGAATACAAAATACTAACTATACAACCCCAGCTTACAAAAAAGAACCCGAATCCCGTCTCCCCGGCTATGGTCCAAGCTCCTATATGTGAATATAGGACGGTGTCGATCCCCAGCTGCGGTTCTTCGCGCGTCTCGATACAGCTCCACCTTTGCGCGTCCACCGATACAGCTCTACGCAGCTCCATACCCCTCTCTTTGTCGCTCCTCCTGTCCATCGCTCGTCCTTCGCCTTCGAACTAGCGCGTACAACGATACAGTACTGAAACGCGTTCGACGATACAACACTAGTACACGTACGACGATACGATACTGAAGCGTGTTCAACGGTACAACACTAAATACGCGTGCGACGATGCAGCTCTAAATCGCGCTCCTTGACTTCCATCCGTCCGTCGTTCAACTGTCCGTCTCCATGCCCGCTTCCCCCTCGAACAACAATCCGACATCGAAACTCTCCTGGCGCGTACTCCGGTACAGCTCTCTCGCGTCCTCCGATACAATCCTGAAATGCGCGTACAACGATACAACTCTTCTTCGCGCCTCCGCGATCTGGTCTTCTGCGCGCAGCGTGCTCAACGATACAACACTAAATGCACGTACAACGATACAACTCAGGCGCGCTCGCGATCGTCCTATCCTCCTCTTCATCCTCCTTCCATCGGCATCCATCTTCCATCGATCGTGCTCCATCAAGGCTTCCATCTTCGACTCTTCCTATCCTACTTCCCCCAATCCTTCGTCCAAATCCCGAAGACTCGACATGTGCAACCGCTGGTACTCTCCGGTACCCCCTATCGAGCCCGCCGACTACGACACCGGCCCTCCACCTGAGCAGCACTTTCCAAGCGCGACAGGCTTACCAGGTATCGCATGACGTGGGCGCTCGATCGATTGGGTTCTAGTTGGCAAGTTGCCACAGTCTTCCCGACTATCCCCCCGCGCTGACACGCCATGCTTCGCACCCTGGCTACCTTCCGGCACTCTTGTTACTGGCTACGTAGGTATTCAGCTCTGCCTCTCTGTTTGCCAGGACTTCCTACTGGGGCGCTGAGCGTGGTAGCTTCGGGCTCGTTACGCACGCATGATGGATGGGATAAGCGCGTTCCTTCAACAACGTAACAACGACGCAACATACCGATGGCACACAACCTGCTCCAACTTGCGCGACTAACCCATCCGCGGGCGGCGACGCCATCCACCATGCGCTCGGCATCGATGCACCATGTTGCGGCTCGCTGGGCTCTGCGCCCCCTCACCTAGTGCTCGACTGCCTTGCGTCCAGCTCCTGTCCCCGAAGGACTTCCGCCACTGCGGGTGCGCGCCAACTCACAATGGCGCGTTACGCCTACACTGCACACAAAACAATAAAAATACATAAATTTACTAAACGAATATACACGAGAAAAATATACGACATAAATATAAACATACTTACCACGGGGAGAGTTAAGCTCTACCCCGGGCTACCGATGGGGACTCTAACTTACTCACACTCACACGCTAGCACACTCACACACTCTCCCGGAATCCAAGGGAGCTACCCACAGGCCGGCCGCGCGCCGCCAAGGCAGCAGCTACGGCACGGCAACACCGACCCCATGATGTTAACCGACAGCATCAAACAAAGCTCCCAACAAATCCTGCGCAACCAAGGCGCTTCGTGATGTTCATCATCCTGGAATTCTATCCTCGCGCGTACATCCAAACAATCCATCAACGATCCATCCAATCGCGCGAGGCACGGGGACGTAGACACGACGGCGATATCGTAGAAACCCAACCAATCAATAATAAAGGCGGCACGACAGTAATAGTAAGATGACAAGACGAGAGAGGCCGCACTGGCGCGCGTATGCGCTATTTATAGCGGTGGCTGGGGGCGTGCCTACATGGTGTGGTCTCGGAGCGAACAAGGTAGCCGCCGTAAAGCGCGGCGACCGTGCCCACGACCGAGACGCGCGGCAACACGGTGCTCCCGGCCACATGCTGTGAGGAGCGGTCGATCGCGAGCCGCGACACTTACGGTTTTTACTAAACTTAGCTTTTCCTAAATTTCTGAAAATCACTTGTAGTCCAAGAGAGGAGGTTGTTTGAGAAACGCTAATAAAACACAATTTTGGCGTTGCTGGAGTAATTTTTGAGTTAGTACTCGCAATACTTGTTTCATTCCAAATGTTCTGATCTCACTGTGAGCCAAGCATGCGTGGCATCACCCCGCATGCTCCTTGTTTTTATTCAAAGCAATTGTGCCTCCTATTCTGACTCAAAGTGAAGGGGTTATCAGAGTACAATGCTCTATGTAAAGACCCAGGTATACCTCACGCGATTTCAGTCGCGACGCGACTTAGCAGTACTCCACCTGCTTATAACTCGTCACAAACTTATTTTAAGCACTTGGAAAATGGCACATTTTACTCGCGAACGTTGAATACTAAGCATTTGTGGTCTGCAGGTGTTGGGGTTGAAGAGATCTGGCAAATGGCCAAATCGCTTGGAGACTGAAATCGCGAGAGCTATGATCAGGGCCTAAGAGGGTACGACTGACGTCCTGTCGCAAATGAGTATGCATAGGTCACTGCTTTTTAAACTTCAAAAGTTTGAAAAATTTAGTGCAGACGAAGCTTAGCTGACAATAAGTAATGCGTACTTTCTTTGAGAGTGTTTTTCACGACGCAATTATGCATCACTTAAATTATGCTGAAATCACTCTAGTATAATACCTTCACAAGCAGCTATCCTATGAAGATTGCGAAAGAACTCCAATATAATGGACTAAAGTCATGATGCTATCATAACTTATAATAACGGGCTAAGGTTGTTTACGTGTTTTTGTGTGTGTGTCTGTCTGTCTGTCACGAAACTCGTAGGACGTGTTCCAGCCAACCTCCTGAGCCCAAATTTTGCACAGCACATGCTACCTACATGGGATTCCACTATACAAAAGCACGAGCGGATCCGTTGCGTGGATCCCTCAAAAAATGCGCCTCTAACGGATCCACTTGGCTTTTGGCCAGTAAAATTGGGCGTGTAGCACGACTTTTTGCAAAATCAAGGATAGTTTCACAAGTTAGTATGCAAGCCATAGACTTTAGCCTAAAAAATTGAACCAAAGTTCATTACTTTGCGAAAACGGCGCAAAAATGTATAGGTTGCGTAAATGTTCAATTTGCCAAGGTTTTACCCGATCATTTGAGAAGATTTTTGCACAGAGATGTGGCCCACGTTGGTTATTGCATCTTATGGCGAATACCAAGCTGTGAAAAGTCCAAAAACCGATTCAAATCTGCATTTGTTCTTATGGCAAAAGTTTCGTTCATGCGAAATTACCGATCTCATTTGAAAAAGCTTTCGGAATGAATAGTTGTTTACAAGTCATTCGTGATAGTCCGCATAGCGCGGTGAGTTTCAATGTCACTATTGTGCGGGAATGAGTAAAGCGTACAGATAGTAGGACCAGTGCGAGCCTCTGCGAAGCAGAGGTGACGCACTGGTCTAACAATAAGTTACCTAACTTGTTTTCCATCCTAAACATTCCTAGCTCAAGTACAACCCACCTTGTCCATCTGATTTGCCGAAATGAACTGAAGAATCAAGTGATCCGACTAGAAAATTAAATGTTGGAGAAACTTCATTTATTACCGTCGTTTGCCCAAAGAGCATCGGCACTTTTCCGTTCTGTGAGATTCCGATGTGCCTCACTTCCAGTCATAGGAACTTACAAGTTTAGGAGCCATATCGCACACTATGCTTCAACAAAAATACATCAGTCTCATAACCTTTCTATCTTATTCTATGCCGTATATATCATCATCCAGAGCACTTAAATTGAGTAAGTTCGGAGCAGTAAACTTCTTTGAGCTTGAATTTTGGCTTACAAAAAATTGTTTCTCTTAAAAGTATATAGAGCTTTGAACAGCACTCCCTCTCTCTTTTCACAATAAAGAATAGCGTGATTGTCCTCGTTAGACCCCGGTCAGACTTCACGCGACTTAATCGTCGCGATCTAATCGCCAAGATTTCCATTCATTTTCATTTCACATTCAAAAATATCGGGCTGGAAAAGTATCACAACCGAATGCAAGTTGATCGGCATGGAATGATGTTGTAACAGTTGTCTCGTCGCGATTCAGTCGCGACGATCAAATCGCGTGAAGTCTGCCCGGGGCCTTAGCAACCATTTTGAAGAAGCAAAGTGCACAAAGTCGAATACAAGTATTTTTGTCTTACTTGGAAGGAATGGAGTTTTCTTGGCGATCATTTCTAACCAGTGCGTCACCTCTGCTTCGCAGAGGCTAGCACTGGTCTTACTTCATATGCCTTACTCATTCTTGACTAATGGTGGCAATGAAACTCACCGCGCAGTGCCGAATATCGCGAGTGAAATGTAAACAACTACCCATTCTAAATGCTTTTTCGTGTGAGATCGGTGATTTCGCGCAGATGAAACTTTTGCAGGAGAACAAATACAAATTTGAATAGGTTTTTGGACTCTTTCTGGCTTGATAGCTGCCATAAGGACAGTAGGCAACGTGAGCTACATCTCTGTGCAAAATTCTTCTAGAATGCTCAGGTAAAACCATAGCAAATTAACCAGTTACGCAACCACTTCTTTTTGGAGTCGTTCTCGTAAAGTAGTAAACCTTTGTCCACTTTTTGGACTAAATCCATGGCTTGCACATCAGCATGCCAAACACATCTCCGACTTTGCAAAAAGTGGTGATACGGAACCAGTCAGAACCCAAGTGGTTCCGTTTGACGCGCAGCTTCTGAAGGATCCACCCAACAAAACTACTCGTGCTTTTGCACAGTAGGTTTTGATGTTGGTCGCATGCGATGTGTAAAAGTTGGGCTCAGGACATTGGCTGGAACTCGCTCTACGAATTTCGTTACATACAGACACACAGACACATACAATAATACACACACAAAAACACGTAAACAACCTTAGCCCGTTATTATGAGTTAGATCCTAATGCCAAGATGTTCAGAACGAGGCTTGTGAATATGACCGAAAGTCAGGATGTGCCAGCCAAACAGATGAATGTTAATGAAACGCTTCCAAACATGCTACAATCAATTTTGAAACTCCATGCAAACTAGCGGCGATCTGCGCCACCTTGTCTTACTTTTGAGGCCTCGGGCAGAGTTCACGCGATTTGATCGTTGCGATTCAATCGCTGCCAGACAAGTTACAGTTACGAGTTCATTGCATGCCGATCTTCTTGTCTTTCGGTTGTAAAAGTTAGTCATGATTAGTCTTGTTGGAAAACTATTACAACCGGCGTGCAAGAAGGTCGGCATACAATGATATTGTTATACAGTTGTCTTGTCGCGATCGATCGAAACGATGAAATCGCGTGAACTCTGCCCTAGGCCTGAAGTGCCAGGCATACTTCACGCGATTTGGCAATTCGCCAGAAGTCTTCAGATCAACACTAGCAAACTGCACATGCATAGTGTGTATAACTTACGTGGATTAGTAATAAAATGTCATATCTTCTGTACCTTTGAAATGTGCTTACAATGAGTTATAAACAGTTGAAATACTACCAAATCGCGTCGCGACTGAAGTGGAAGTATGCCTGGCCCTTAAGGCTCACACCCTTTTTTGTAACGGTGAGAATTGCGCAGAAACAAAGAAGTGTTCGCAAAATCTTAGCAGGGTATGGTGCAGGTGGCTTATAAGAGGGCTGATCGTTTTTGGACAAAAACCAAAAGGAAAGTCTTTGTGGCCGAAAAAACACAACTTAGGTTATGCGTAATCGACGTTTCGTTTATTGAGAATTCTTTACGCTTAGGTTGAGATCAAAAAATTCACAAAATTTTGGAAAAGTCAAGGGGGACTTCGTTTTTTTTTGCATCTTGTACCTCGTGCCAAGCCTTGCATCTTAAGCCTCAAGCAAAGTTCACGCAATTCGTCGTCCCGATTCATCGCGCCGACAATTGTAACAATATTATTGCATGCCGATCTTCTTGCGTTTCATTATGATAGTTCTCCAACACGACTAATCGTTATTAACACATTGGCGACCGCTTGACACACATGGTTGTCAAGCAATGACTACCACGTGGGACCCCTTGACACACCATTTGTGTCAAGACTTGAATGTCGTTAAAATGACTACTACCTTGGGATAAACTCATTCTATAATCCTTCTTTTGCACTGAATCTACGGATGACCTCTACCCCTTCTGTCGGTCTTTTAGATTTACTGTAGGTGTACTGTAGAAGCAGTATGCGTAATTATAGTTGAAAAATGCGGGCTGGTCTGTAAAAGGCCATGGTCCCAGAAGGCAGACAGCTGAAAATCTGCGTGGTCGTCAATGTGTTAACTATCACGACCGAAACACAAGAAGATCGGCATGCAATGAACTCGTAAGGCCTAAGGCAGGCGCTATACTCCGCGTGGAGTATAGCATGGTGACGAGCGATCACCAATCGCTACGACTGGCGATCGCCAGTCGCCAATACTGGCGACTGTGTCTTCTATGCGTATCGATCGCTAACAAGTTACCACACGTCCAATTGATACACATTCAATGTGTAGTCGCCAACATTGTCGATTGGCGATCGCCAGTCGCCAATATCGGCGACAAAAATCGCCGGTTTTACACGTAATTGATGCATATTGATCATCGCCATGCTATACTCCTCGAGGAGTATAGCGCTTGCCTAAGGCATACCTCCCGCAATTCCAGTCGCTGCGCGATCTGGCACTGTAACGACTCTTCATAATTAGTCATAGGCGCATTTTGCTCAAGCCGGACTTGGTGCTCTTGCGACAACTTACAGAAACTATGCGCCCATGCATTTAAGGCCCGTGCGGTAAATCTGAAGAAATCTGGTAAAAACCAAGACCCCTTATAGGCAGTGTCCAGGCAGATTCGCGCCCTGGGGGATATTGCTATGGTGGGGTTCCTGGTCATCTCACTGACCTCGAGGTACAGTCCGGTTGGTTGATGTTCCCCCCCCCCCCAAGCAGAGAAAATGGCCCTCGAACCGGCGCGCGCAACCCCAATCGGCGCGCTCTTGATTTCGACTGTCCTGTGCGGGACCCCACAACTGCTCTCCCGCATTGTGCATGCTATCCAAAGCAAAAATTACAGGCAGTAGGGCCTTCGTGCCAAGCCTCCCAGCTTTCCATTGAAATTCTCGTCCGAGCTGCCTTTTGGAAATTGGCTAAACGCCCCGAAAAAGATCTTTTCACCCGTTTTAAAGGTAGTTTCGGGGTCTACGGGTCAAACAGGCTCAAAACATGCAAAAAAAGTGGAATTGCAAAATCTGCCGGGACAATGCCTTTATGGATTTAGAGCAAGCGACATGGAACTCAACAAAAACGAGTTGCTGCTGCTCCTCTTATGCCTTACGCCTTCTCAACTTTTTTCCTGCATCTCACTTTCTGGCTCTCCTCTCCAACTCCCCCCCCTCCCTTACCCCCGTCTCATAAATTTATAGGCGCTGCACAGCAAGAACTCCTGTTTCAGCACAGGTTCACTATTGAAATGGCCCTTTCAATGTTACCGCATCGTCATCGTCGCGAAATGGGAATTAACTTTACTGCTGATGTTTTGGAACCGTGCAGCAGCTTGATCTTGGTAAAAATTGATTTCAGTGCAAAACTGTCTGGCATACCCTGTTTCACACGAAAGTGAATAACCGGACCGTCAAGCGGTACACATTCTCGAGCGAAATGACAGGGTTTGCTTCACCGCTGGCTTGCGCTTCACTTCCACCTCCCAATACTTCGCTTTTCCCTCCTCTCCTGCACAGAAGTAACCTGTGAGAGCGAGATAGAATGATCCTTCATGCGACTCACATAGATTCACCGCACGCTAACCACAGATTGAAAATGAAGTTTACCGTCCCTGTTGAATGGCTGTGGTGAAGTGACTTGATAATGACCACAACCTTTCATTTTTTCTAAAGTCAGTAAACAAATCAATAAGGTGGGATAGCCCAACGAATTTGCGTAAAAAGTAGCCCAAAACCGTCTACCGGGTCGAAAATATCTGTTGCGAAGTCCTAGCTCAATCGGTTCAGCTTTGGCATTTCTATAACGCACATACTCTTTAAACAACAATTTTTGAGTTTTGTATATATAGAGATGCCGTGAAAGAAACCATAGGAGAGCCAGCAGTTGTGACAAAAGCGAAAATGAAGGTCGTTATTCAAAAAGTACAGAGTTTTTGTGAATCACATTCACAAGCTATGCATTTTTCTATGCCCTACTACACGACTGACGCGCAAAGAAACTATTATGCGATCTCGTTTGAGCGCTTAAATTACTGACTCAGTTATAACCCAGTCAACAATAAGACAAGAAATTTGGAGCAGCGCAACCCGGTCCGTTGATATTGAGATAATGCAGTCGATGTGGCTAAATTCGCCAAATCAGACGCACCCCAAGCTAGATTCTAATTCACCAAAACTTTGCGAAGCTTTTGGACCTACACTCCACAAGAATACATTTTTATCTCCGCAGAAATGCATGGATGTAGCTTTCCAAGCGTCTGATGTCCTTGTTTGTAACCTCTGAAACTTGTTTTTGCCTTATCTCAAAACAATCATCGAGATGACCCTGTCACTTCCCTTGTAGAAATGAATTTGGAGGATTGCTGACAGCACCTGTGTCTGCGATATCTCCCATTATCCCCACTCCTTCGTACTCATTGACAACCCCTGATACATAAGTGAAAAGAAGCATGGTATTTTCAACATAATGGTGATAATACTGCAACACTCAAATCTCGCAGACAGAAGTCACATTATACAGGGTGTCCTAAAAGTGAGTACACACTTTTCAATCGTCAATGTTTCTCTTCCCAATGGGTCTTTCTTTGCCAGTCAATTAGCATTCGGTAGAGGAGGTTTTAACTTAGATTACACCGATCTTTGTTACTGTAGGATTACAGCAAGAATTTCCGGCCTGCGAAACTATTGTGAAATATACCATTTGACAAAATTTCTTTCAGAAAATCTGACAATAGTGTAATAGGGTTTTCACGCGCGCTGATTTCACCACACAACTTTTTACGAACGTTTTCAGCTTTTTTGACTGTGTAATCACATTTCTGACAAAGCTGGGAATTCAGTAATTCCGGTTTACCTGGGATAACTTTGGAAAAAAGCATCATAGTAAATTGCAAATGTCATATTCGAAATCAGCGGCTTCAATTGCCCTAGTATAAGAACTTTTGATTTGTTTGGTTTCGTTCCGAGGCGAGAATATGGCTTCCAATAGCCTAAAAATCTTTTCGAAGTTCCTACAGTAACGAAGAGAGATTCTTGATTCGCTCGATACTGTAAATCTAAGTTGGATCTTCCTCTACAGAATAATGCTTAAATGGCTGGAAAAGACAAATGGGAAGTGAGATATAAACGATTGAAAAGTGTGTATTTACTTTTGGGACACCCTGCAACCGATGTTGATCTGATTACAGATTTTAGCGGGCGTGCACAAATTGGGAAACCACCAATTAGCAATAGCGTTTTTCTTATAATCAGGCCGTTTGGAAGTTTTTCATATAACATACATAAGTCCTTTTAATCTTCCTAAGGCCACGATCTAATCTATAATACAACAATGTTCACTAAGTGACTGATCTAGGCGAATTGACTTTTACGACACCCTAACTTATGGTTGACGAGATGACTAGACGTGCATGTAGTACGCCGCCGATGTGTTCGAAGAGCAAAAAAGAAGGAATGAAATAGGAAATCTGAGTACGTATCCGTTCTCTTTCTACACTTATGCCAACTAGCTCATATTTCCGGCGTCCGGCGTACGGCCTCCTCTGCAGGGTCCCAAACAAGTATAATTGCTACAATAAAAAAGTTCATGTTATTTTGTGCTGACATTGGCCTTTGCTTAATTGGAAGATTGATAAAGCGCTCCTGGCTTTATTATCAATCTTTCAAGCGACCCTTTTAAAATTCCTCCCGTATTTGTAAGAGTTCACAGTAATAGTCGAAAGCATTTTGATTGAGCATGCAGCTGGCATAACAAGAAATTACGAATTTTGCAGTGTAGAGGCAAAGGGATTCTCGGAAGTATGGTTGTTACCCTTGTGTGGGGTTATAGGGATAATCGCAGCAAACACAGTGAAAAAAGACAAAACATCAGCATTGTTATTGTTAATTCTAAAGTGCGGCGTATTGGAAAACATGGAAATACAAGCTCACTTACAATGTTGACTTTGTTTATCTTTTTATATGCTGCACTTTTCGAATGAAGATAATCTACTTTAGGGTGCACTTTTGAGACAAGTGAGACAGAAGAAGTCACTATCAACAGTATAGATGAGAAAAAGAACCTCACAAAATTATGCCGCTTTGCGACTAAAATTGAACTACTTGATGCATTAGTTTTTACCGCTGATGGCTTAAATCAGTCTGATTTCAATTTTCTCTTGGGCAAAGAGCTAAATATGTGCGTAGAAGCAAAAAATACAAACTTAAATGGTATTAAAATAGAGACTAAAACCATCAAAGGCAACTGTACCGGTAAGTTGATTTCGGTTTTTTTGCTGCATAGTTTGTTAGCTTTAAAATTGCAGGGCCAGTGCTGCGGATAATAAATAATAACCAGTTAGAATTTCTGAAAATCGAAGAGGAGCTTTTAAATAGCTTTAAAGGATATTCCGAAAAGCTGGTAGCAGTGCGAGGGAACACAAAATTGATTGAACAAGACTTGAAAGAACTACGCAAGTTTGGAAGCGTTATAGATCTTCAAGAGAGAGGAGGTGAGGTAGATCATAAGCAATGTATAAGTGCGTCACTTTGTATTCAGTATCATGAAATTTAAAGCTTATTGTCTCACGATGAACGTTACAGAATGCTCAATGCCAGAACCTCTCTCAGACTTTGCCAGTATTGCCAACTGTACTTCGATCTATGGCGATCTCAGAGTCGAAACGACTACTCCCATAACGATATCAGATGCAATGAAAGGAAGATACAGATATGAAGGCTGTGTGAAAATAGAGAACAGTACTTTGGAAAATGTAGACTTTTTGGAAGCCTTCTCTTTCTTCAAACCAACACCCTTCTGTCGGCAAAGTGAGTTTTGGATTCATGACAATCGAGAATTTATTTTTCGAAAGTCTGTATACACAATGTGATTATGGATATCTCTCCTATCTCTTTGTCCTTTGCTTTTCCTTGATGCCATACAAAAGACACTTTCGTAATAAATAAGGACGGAGGAAATTATTAATTTTATACTTTATTGTATAATCAAAACATTACATTTCAAAAACTTCTACCGCAACATTTCAAGCAAAGATAGCGCCGCGAAAACTAGATTTGTTGAGTGCCGCAGCAGGCACGACCATTATCAAAAAACCTCAAGCTCTTTTGAATGCTTTTATTGAAATTGTAACAGTGTACCAAACCGCACTATGAAATTCTTACGTCCAAAAAAATCTGAAGATGTCAGCAAACGTTGCTTATAGTAATGGGTTAGGCCTCGAGCAGAGTTCACGCGATTTGATCGTCGCGATGCAATCGCTATAAGGCCTCGGTCAGACTTCACGCGACTTAATCGTCGCGATCTAATCGCCAAGATTTCCATTCATTTTCATTTCACATTCAAAAATTTCGGGCTGGAAAAGTATCACAACCGAATGCAAGTTGATCGGCATGGAATGATGTTGTAACAGTTGTCTCGTCGCGATTCAGTCGCGACGATCAAATCGCGTGAAGTCTGCCCAGGGTCTAAGACAAGTGTGAGTTCATTGCATGCCGATCAACTTGCATTCGGTTGTGATACTTTTCCAGCCTGATATTTTTGAATGTGAAATGAAAATGAATGGAAATCTTGGCGATTAGATCGCGACGATTAAGTCGCGTGAAGTCTGACCGGGGCCTAAGACAAGTGTGAGTTCATTGCATGCCGATCTTCTTGTATTTCGGTTGTGATAACTAGTCACGATTAATCGTGTTGGTAAACTATCATAACCTAAATGCAAGAAGACCGGCATGCAATGATATTGTTACAGCTGTCTTGTCGCGTTCAATTGTGACGATCAAATCGCGTGAACTCTGTCCGAGGCCTTAGTGAGGATATTTAGGTGACTTGTGTGTGTGTGTGTCTGTGGTGTGTGGTAAGTGTGGCGTGTGTGTGGTATGTGTCGTGTTTTTGGTGTGTGTGTGGTTTGTGTGGTGTGTGTGGTGTGTGCGTGAGGTGTGTGTGTGGCGTGTGTGTGGTCCGTGCGTGTGGTGTGTATGTGGTGTGTGTGTGGTGTGCGTGTGGTGTGTGTGTGGTGTGTGTTACAAAATTCGAGAGCGGGCTCAGCTGATCAGCCCAATTTTAGCATAGCACATGCTAAAAGCATTCCACCACGCGAAAACACGGGCACATCCGACGGGCGAATTCCTCAAAAATTGCCCAATAGGCCGATCACATGCTTTGGCCGTAGAAATGATTCACTTCTCCCAAGGTTATGGATTTGTACAAATCACAATCGTACATGCAAATCTGTGATGATGCCATCCTTAGATCCAGTGACTGAATCTCGCGCGAAGGTGCAGAAGAGTTTCGATTTCCCAAAGTTTCGACCTCACACAAAAAAACTTTTGGAATACTTAATTGTTTACATGTAACTGCGGGCTAGTGTCTAGTGGTATTTCAAGGTTTCCACCTTGATAACGGGGCACACGAATAGATTGGAATCAAGAAAGTCTATCCTATGCAAAACAAACAGTAACAACGGCCTCAAGACCAACAGCGAACGAAAACAACAAGAAAAGACACGAAATTGGGAGGGAATATCCCGGTTTGTTCCTCCAGCAGGGCTTTACACGGTCACGTTTGATCAATGTCTCGTTAATTTTTCACGTGGGGAGGTCTGGTTCTCTCCTGACCAATTTTCTATTCCCGCGAGCCTCTTCTGCTCGCGGCTCTCCGTTTTCCACCTCTTTTATACCCTGCTTCGAGGTCAAATCCGCCTCTTGTTTTCCCGCCATCAAATATTGTAGATCGGTGATCCTTTCCATCCAACATCCCTCTCCTCCGGGGAGCTGACGTCGTCGGCGGCTGCTGCGAATTTCTAAGTTTGCGCCGGGAGCTGTCCTGTGGATGTTGTGGAGTTGTCGTGATCCATCCGTCCCTGAAATGCATATTAGAAAACTGAAAACTACCGTCGGTTTTTCCTGCTTCTTTAATCGCTTTCCCCTTTTGTATTCTCGAGGGAACTGAAGTAAACGACTGATTTGGGCTTGCATATTTCTTCAATATTCTGTCAATCACCGACCACACTTTTGACTTCGTTTTCCATACGTACTTGCGGGAAGATATTGATGGCCACACTGATACAATCTGCCCTCCTGCTCTGAGGTGCTTTTTGCATAAGCGCAATGTCTCTATGATAGCCTCATCCTCCCTGCTTGGGTCCATGGGCCATACTATGATCCATACACGACAGTTTTTCAAGTTTCTCAAGGCGTCTTTAAGCTGATGAATTATACTGCCTCCTTGGTCAGTATTCCTCTTTGCCTATCTCCATTATGCCGCTGCACACTCAGGTACTATGAATGCAATGAGTCCCTTCCTCCTAAACCCTTGCCCTTTCTCTATTAGTGTCATCTCGTCTTTCACTGCTCTCTGTGCTTCATTATACATTTCCCCGAAGTCAGCTTTAGGTGGGCTCTGTATCTTGGTGCCTCTTTTCATTGTAGGCTTTTTCTTCCTGTTCTCCTGCGCTCCACTTGGCCAAGTTACACTTCGTTTCTCTTCTGTCTTCTTGCAGCTACAGACTCGTTTGGCTCCCGAATCCTTCACAGACACATACCGTTTATCCGTCCCCCATGTATCTACTTCCTCTTCTTGGTTGCAGTACTAAATTTCTGTAGTTGTGTTGAACACTGGTACCTTTGTCTCCGCTTCATTTATAGAGAAGATACCATCTGACACCTTTTTTCTTGATGACCACAGAGCTTTCTCTGTCCTCCTCTTTTGCTCTTCTTTGCATTTGATCCGGACTAGTTTCGTTTGGCAAGGAGGTATCACCACCCGCTCCAGTACTCTTGCCGTCTCCTCCGTCTTCGCTTTCGGAAACGTTACTGCGATACCCAAGCTTTTGAGCGCGTTTGTTCCCAGCAGTACTTCATCTCCGTCTCTCGTCACATGAAATGCCACTTTGCTTCTACGTCCTCCCTCTACTTCTATTTTCACTTTCACTCCTCCTAGAAACTTCATGACATTGTTTGATGCATCATAAATACTTCCTTCCTCTACCTGTAGAGCCTTTAGGGAGTCTAGTTCATAGCCCTTGTCCTTTGCATCTGCAAGTATCTTGATGGGCATGTTGCTGATCATCGATCCTGTATCTATTAGTGCTGATATTCGCATGTTCAAAACTCTTGCTGGCAGGATTGTCTTGTTTTCTACAAGCCCATCTGTCATATCCTGAGCGCTCTTCACCATTAGATTCCTTGCTCTGTCCACCATGGATGTTAGTGGACCTGATATCGCTGAAGTCATTCCCTGTCTTGCTGGTACAGTTTCGTATGTGATGCCCGAAGCGACTACACCCGTAGCACCTCCTTCCTTCGTTTGAAGGGCCTCGACCAGTGTCTGTGTTCCTTGTTGCCTGTGGCGCTTGCCTTTCTTCTCTGTTGCGCTTCCCCCTCTCTGGGCTGCTATTTTGGAAATGCCTACTGTGTGCAAATCTTTCGTCTTTCTTGGGAGAACTCTACCGTTGTTCTCTTCGGTCCCACCTGCAAAGTCTTTTTGACTACTCAATTTCTAAAGCTACCTCTTTTATTGTATTGTAAGCATTCCCCGGATCCACTTTATGCAGCGCTCCTACTAGCTGCAAATAATTCGGCCAGTCTTTTAGATTATCCAGGAGTATGCGCATTCCATGGGTCGCTCCTCAATACTGCATTGAGGGTTCGCTTTCCTGGCTAAACCCTCCAGGACTACACAAAATTCGGCCACTCCTTGATTTGATCTCAGCCACAGGTTTCTTAACGCCGTGAGCGCTCTAAGCCTTGCAGCGGTTGAGTCACACGCCAACAGCGCGGTCATCTCCTTTACCCCCTCTCGAATCCCTGGCGCCTTACCGATAAACGGATACTGAGGTACACGGATTTTCCATGCCCCGCTAAATGCTCATCTCCCAAACTATCTACCAGTCTTTTCTCATCCCGTATGTTTGTACGGAACTTCCTTTTAAATTTTTCAATAAAAACCCCAAAGTCCTCGTTTTCGCCTCCTTTGAAAAACTCCGGGTCCGCAAGGCTCATACTTTGAAGTTTATTCAACAAGTGTTTCTGCGTACCTTGATGGCAGACATTCGCTGACGCTCGTTCTCAGCAATGGCCTCAGGGCTGCGCGTACGCCGAACTAATCTCTGGCTTTGGTCCTCTCGGCCGCCTCCTCGAATTCGACATCTGAACGAATTTATCGTTTCTGTCTCTTAGGGAGAATGTTGAGATGTTCTCACCTTGTATCTAGCCTTCTTCGGCTTCTTCTCTTTCTTGTACCGGTTTCTCCGGTAGTTGCTCGCTATGCATGCCTTCCTGCAATTGATCTGTTTTGAAAGTTGCCTTTACATTTGTCGTGAAGCCCCTTACTCGAGTAGTTCCAGAACCAATTTTGATCTGGACTACTAGGCAGTGGCGTACCGAGGGGGTGGGGGGCGGGGGGGGGGGGGCGCGCGCCCCCCCCCCGAGAACGGGTCGCGAAATTTTTGAAAGTTACTTACATGAGTTATAAAAATGTGCAAGTGACTTGTTTATTTTTGTAAATAATTAAAATAATTTTTAAAATTTTTTAAAAATCCAAATTAGCTTTATAAAATTTTTTTTTCGGGGGCGTGGCTGACGCCACGCCCCTTTTTTCCAGATTTTAGGGGTTGGGGGCCCGCAAAAATTTTGAGAAGCCCCCCTAAAAATTTTTCGGAATGCGTGGCTGACGCCACGCACCTTTATTTGAAAAAAGTTTTTGCCGCCCCCCCCGAGCCGAAATCCTGGGTACGCTACTGCTACTAGGTTATCTATTTGCTTTACAGTATTAGCTACTTTACTAGTTAGCTCTTTTTCTAGCAGCCCTCTGTATCTGACCGCTGCTCTGCTCTCGTTAAGATGTCTGCTAAGCACTTTTGGTAACAGCTCTAGCCCTATTCTGATGAGCTTTAGCTGCTTTAATATGGCGAAATTTCCAAGCTCTCCCACCTGGCTCATTCTCCTCTCTTCGTTTTCTTTTCCTTCCATTATGATGAAAAAAACTCTTATCTGAAAACAATTCTTTTTGTTTTCACAAATGTTCACTCATACGGCGACGAAATGCGATACACGGCAAGGAAATTAAGCGCTTCCGTAAGCGCCTGGATGCGTGGAATGATAAGGATTGAATGATTCCTTACGCTAGTGATCGATTGCTCTTGCTCCTTGTCAACCCGTGTGGCCCTGTTTGCTGGTTCTGCATTGGATCAATTAATCAGCTCGTGATCTTCCAGAAAATCAAGGTGTTAGCTCTGCTCCCATGTAACTGCGGGCTAGTCTAGTGGTATTTTAAAATTTCTACCTTGATAACGGGACACACGAACAGATTGTAATCAAGAAAGTTTATCCGTACGCAAAACAAACAGTATCAACGGCCTCAAGGCGAACAACGAACGAAAACAACAAGAAAAGACACAAAATTGGGGGGAGATATCCCGATTTGTCCCTTCAGCAGGGCTTTACACGGTCAAGTTTGATCGATTTCTCGGTAAGTCACGTGGGAAATCTGGTTCTCTCCTGACCAGTTTTCGACTTCGGCGAGCCTCTTCTGCTTGCGGCTCCCCGTTTTCCACCTCTTTTATACCCTGCTGCGAGGTCAAATCGGCCTCTTATTTTTCCGCCATCAAATATTGTAGATCGGTGATCCTTCCCATCCAACCCATTTGATTTAACTGGCTTGGCTTCGAGAAGGCGAGGCTTCGTGGCCTAGTTGCGGCTAAGTAATGATCAGAGAGCACTCGCGCGAGAGAGACGCAGTTGCGTCGCGGGAGCGACCGGTCTCATTTAGGTCGCAAAGCCCCGCCTTCCTGAAGCCAAGCCAGTTGAATCAAAGTTTACATCATAAAGTTCAGCACTGCGCGGTAGGAAAGCTATCAATATGAGAGTACAAGGGGACATCCAGTAGAATCTATGCGATCCTCTACGAAAAGGAGACACACTCTTTTTGAGTACGTTAGTGTACCAGAGTCTTTCGCCTAATTGCAGAGCAATGAGGAAATATGTTACTAACAATTCGGGAATAAATTGCTTCTATCTCTTCGCTGCTGAGTGTGCAATAGTTTTGCAGCGTTCTAGCCATTGTGACATATAATAAAGCGCTAAACGTCTGTCTTTTTGTGCGTGTGTGTGTTTGTTTGTCTGTCTGTCACGAAATTCATAGAGGCAGCTGCAGCCAAGCTATCGAGCTACAATTTTGCATAGCATACCGTACCAGCATGTAGGCCCACAATGCACAAGGACGAGCCGGTTCGATAAGCGGGTCCTTCAAAAATTGCGCCTCAAACGGGTTCACCTGGCTTTTGGCGCGCAAAACTAGGTCACAAATTCAACTTTTTGCAAAGTCCTGATTTGCCTGACAAGCAAATCTGCGCTCCAAGAATTCTAGCTTAGAAAGTGCTCAAAAATTTGCTTTTCCGCGAAAACAGCGCCAAAAGTAGTGATCGCGTAGAGAGTCGATATGACAAGGTTTTACCTAAATATCTGAACAGATTTTTGCATGAAAATGTAGCCCAAAATGACTATTATCTTTATAACAAATATCAAGCCAAAATAAATTCAATAATCTGTTCGAATTCATATTTATTCCTTGGCAAGTTTTCTTTCTCAAAATTACCGATTTTACATGGAGATGCTTCAAGAATGAACAGTTGCTTATAATTCATTTATGATGTACAACCTCGCGCGGTGAGTTTCAAAGTCATCATTTTGGGAGCATGAATAAGGCATACGGATAACAGAGCCAGTGCGAATCTCCGCGAAGCGGAGGTGACGCACTGGTACACCTAATAAGCCGAAAAATTCAAAAATCAAAAACGCGCCATTGATTCGTACAGAGACTTTGTTCCTTTCTCATGCAACGTTGTAATTGAGCTCCTGCTATGACCCTCAGCTTTGAAACATTTAAAGCTGTCCTCCTCGCTTTTTTCTCATGCTTCTACTGTTTGGACGTGTGCAAAAAAGCCATTGGCTAAAAGTGCAAAAAGAGTTTTCGAGTTTGAAGAAACCCTAGAAATAGCTATAACAGAAAGTACTTATCGAAACTTCAAACCGTATTGTGCGATTGCGGCCAGTAGCTTGGCCTTTGTATATTGACCATCTCATTTTTTGCGGCTGTCTTGCAACCTTCCATGAGGTTTTCACTAATCTCCTAAACAATCCATTGGTTCCTCTATCTTCGCTTTACTTTCCTGACCTGCTTACAGCACATTAGTCCGTACGACAGATCACACAATTGAATGAGTGCATCAGCTCTTACAAGGAAACGATACTCGGTGTCCGTGGCCTTTTGAGATGAGTTGTATACCATTACACTCATCTTGGAACGCTGATTCCGAATCTGACTTCCGTTTCTGCTAATCGCTTCAAAGATGTTGTAAAGGATTGTGCGGGCTTTGGCTGCCCACTGAAATACGCTGGGTTGCGCCACAGGCAACGGTGCGTTGTGGTCTAGTGGTTAGTGCGATAGGCTCATGAGTTGATGCAGGTATAGATTCGAATCTTTTCGTGTTTTTCAGTTTTGCATTGCCTCAATAAACCTTCTTTCGCATCTACGAGGTAACTCGAACGCCCCTACTCTTCAAAAAATGTGGAAATTTGGAAAAAATTTATTACTATTTGCGCTAAAATGTATCCAGTAATCATAATTCGAGTAAATCTCGAACAATTTTAATTGAGGCAGTGCAAAATAAAAACACAAAAGGATGAACCTACACCTGCATCAAGTTATGAGGCTATCATACTAACCACTAGACAATAACGTGGCGCCGGTAGAGGCCGTTCCGATGACCATACCCTTAGGCGGCCAGAGTTGGCTCGAAATTCCTCCATAACTTCTTTCAGAGAAACGATTAGCAGAAACGGAAGTCAGATTCGGAATCAGCGTTCGAAGACGAGTGTAATGGTATACATCTCGTTTTAAAAGGCCACGGACTTTCAGTATCGTTCCCTTGTTAGATAACTTAAACATGGTAAACATTATCACCGTAATACTCAATCTATAAAGTTGCAACGTCTGCATGGCCCGAAGTTTGTAGACAAAACAAAATCATTTGCAGGCATTCGATTCAATAGAAAACTTTGCATAAAAAACTTGAAGTATATTGCCAACGTTTTTGTCGATATAGAGGTTGACCACAACAAGGACGGCTGCAGTATGTTCTCTCCAAATCGGCCGTTGCAAGCATTCGTACTTTACAGATGAAGAATGCGTTGGAGGAATTGTGACAGAAAAATACTTGAAGAATAATGAAGGTTGCAAACATGTGTACGGAAATTTATCGATCATCGCCTGGAAAAGTAAGCATTCTCAAACAGCCCTCTGTAGATATCAGCATACTGTTAATTTGACCGAATTTTTCGGTAAATTTTTGGGAACTTGTCCAATCACTATCAGTAATTGATTATAGCTTGATTCGTGCTGACACCCTCACTTCAGAAATTCAATGCCCGGAAATGATTAAATCGTTATATACTTATCAAATTCACGGGCGGGCCATCCCAGCTAGCATTTGGGCTCTTTTCTTCACTTCCAGCGCAAGTGCTTTGCTCCAGCCGCGATCTTGCTTCTTCCATGGTCATGCTGATGAGTTCCGCAAATCACTTACTTACTTAGATATTTAGCCCGTCTTTGGCATGCGCCCCAACACAGAAGTTGCCGGTGATCTCTGCCCCTTGCTTCATACATCCACGATCTTCTTGGTTTTCGTCGTCGGTGGCTGCGTCCACGAGCTCCAAGGGCGAAAATCGTATCCACCTCATTTCTCAGCTAATCCATCCGTTCAACAAACACGACTGCGCACCTTGTTCGAGGTCTTTCTCGGGGACGCTTTGCTTCGCGCAAATCTCTGATGTTATTATCGTTCATCTGTTTGTGTCGGTTCATCATCTTCAAACGTTTGCGCTTAAGCGCTCAGTTGGTCCTTGGAGTTTTCGACGTGGCTACAGTGCCCAGGACTCAGCTGCGTAACAGAGCGCCGGGAGAACGGTAGAATCGAACAGGGGAACGAAGCGCCGGGTCCATCAGTTGGTCGGTGGCTTCCTTCAGAGGTCCAAAGGCGGCCCAGGCTGCTCTTATTCTCCTGTTGTTCTTCTCGTTCTTCAAGTGCATGGAACCTTCAAGATACACTTGAGAAGACGTCTCCGCAACAGGAGAGCCTTTTAACCTTATTTCTGCATCTTCGCAAAGGGCGTTCTTTATGAGCTAGGTCTTCTTCCGATCCATTCGCAATCCAATCTTTTTCCCTATATCTTTTATTCCCTTCGGCATCCCTCTGCTTCCGATATGCTCGAAGAGTAAATGATGTCGCCCGCAAAACAAGGGTTCGACAGGAATCTTCTATGAGCTCGTAGGCCTCTCTCTTTCCAGTCTAGTGACTTCATCACCCACTGCAAGGCCGCGGTGAACAGCTTAGGCGGGGATGTATCGCTTTGTCGAACCCCATTCCCGATGGGATGGTCAGGAGGCGATGGAATAGCTGCATCGTTGTTGTACAGTCCTTGTAGCAGTTGGCTAGTGTCCTCACGTAGGCTGGGGGTCCACTCCTTGATCGACTAGCGCAGACAGGATGGCGTTGATTTGGACGCTGTCAGAGGCTTTGTCGTAGTCCACGAAGGCTAGGACAAGAGGCAGTCGGGACTTCCGGCAGACAACTTTTATGACCCTCGACCGTCTGGATGTGGTTCTATGCAGCTGAATCCTTTGCGAAATCCAGCTTGTTCTTGGGGTTGGGCTTCACCCAGTGTCCTAGATATGCAAGCAAGGATAATATTCGTGAAAAGCTTGTACAGCACACTCAGCAGGCATATTGGACGGTAGTTTCGAAAATCCTCCCATTCACCCTTCTTGAAGAGAAGGACGGTTCTTGACGTTCTCCATTGGTCGAGGATCCTCTCCTTCTGAAGGTAAGATGTCCGGTGCGACGGTAGAACCTCGTGTAGATGGTGTCCTCCGGTTCGCAGAAGTTCGACGGAGAGATGATCTGGTCCTGGAGCTGTGAACGTCTTCATAGTCTAAATCGTGCGCACTTCAGCAGGTAGAATTTGTACTTCTCCAGTGGAAACAACGGGCATCGGCAAGTGATGAGCGGGAGAGGTTGATGCAGAAGTTCTTCGCGATGGATTCCATCTTGTATCGGGAAGAAGTCGGAGTCCCATCTTTGTTTAATAGTGCAGCCAGCGGTACGTAATATTTGCAGATTCCTTTGGCACTTCTTAAAACTACGTCTTCCTTCGGATGCTTCCAGTATCTTTGCTTGCCCGATTTCCTGAGATCCTCCTGCAAAGTTGTTCCAACTGGCGTTGGCTGTCAATTGCTCGAGATGGGTTGCATTCGGATCCTGCCTCAGAAATTTTCTTCTTTGGAGCAATTCCTTGGTGGTCATCGAAATGCGTTCCAAGTTCTTCTCAGAAGTCACTGAGGCGTACTCTCCGCAAGCTCGCAATCCTTTCAGAAGCCGGTCGTAGTTGTACTTGCGTCCTTCTTGATTGGCCAGCCACAGCTTGATATGAGCTCTTCCAGCCTGTTGCAGTCATAAACGACTTTCTTCCTTCTTGCGGCATTGTGACAGATCTTCTCTTCAAGCCTTCGACTGAATCGTATCTTCTCAAAGAGGCACTGATCGGATTCGCTGCAAAAGGGTAGAACTACAGAAACATCGAGCGAGTTTGTTTCTTCGCATGAGTCGTTCCGTTGGGCGATTCCCATGTCCAACGGCGATGTTTTTTCTTCATAAATATGGAATTTCCATGGCAAAGTCATGCGCGGAGAGAAGCCCAACCAGAAGTTGCCTTTTCATTCCAGAGCCCATATCCAAACTTTCCGATACCACATTCCTTTTTAAGGTGCATCTTGATTTTCGCAGTCGCCCACAACAAAACTTGAGAACTTCTCGTTGCAAACCACCTTCTCCACATCTTCGTAGAAAGCATCTAGTTCTGATTCGTCAGTGCTGATGATGAGTGTAACAGTTGGTGATGTGCTGATGGTCTTCTTCTGGCGTGGAAGTCGTAGGATGGCTAGTCGTGGTGATAGGATCTCATACGAATCAACAACATGGACTTTGGGTGGATGGCAAAGCTAACGGCTCTAATCGTGATGGAACCTTCACCACAAATAATGAGGTACTATTACTATTATTTATTACTCATCTGTCCACGTTCTCCTTCTTGGACTTCATTTCCTGCAGTGATTTGGTACTTGATGTGCTCTGCACCGTCGAGAAGAGTGGGCAGGTATTTGTGGAGACTGTCCTGGCCTTGTAGGTGCAGAGCATGAGGCAGTCTGAATGGGTGTCTTTTGTTTTTTGTCCGATTCAAAAGGCGAACTAAGGACCCTGACATTCTGGCTACTCCCGGCGTTGTAGGAGGGATCTGATGTTCGGGGTTCTTTTTCTAGCTGGTAGAGTGATTAAAATTTCCTTGTACAAGAGCAGACTTGCTTGACCAACTTTTGATTTCCACGGGGAGATCGCTAACCCCAGACGTGAAGTGGGACTTAGCGATCAAAAAGGGGATCTGGCCCTGTTGGCACTTAGCTGGTCAACCAGCCGAAAGGAAATGTCGAACTCCTTCTCGGCTCGGGAGACCTAACCAGAGTATTTGGCTGTGCCTAGTGCCAACCCCACGCCACGAGGAGGCGGCGGACCATAGTGGGTCCGCAAAACATTTCGTAAAAACGCCTTGCTCTTCTGCAAAAATCATATCTTTTTTCGCATACCCTCCGCAAAGTGACCAGAAAGTTTTTGCAGGTTTGCTTTCAGAGTGGAAATAGGCCCACTAGGGCGAGCTTAAGTTACCCTACACATGTGTAAGCCGCACCCTGATTGCTCTAAAGGCAAACACGCCGAACGTTTGCTTCATAAAGCAAAAACGTGGTAGGGTATGTACCCCTTAAGAGTGCCACTAAGCTCCGAAAAGTTACCCTTGAGAAAGGACCATTCAGTATCCATCTGAAAATAAATTTTCACAGCAACTTTTACTTCTTGTCCCATCTCTGCAAATGCTGAACGAATATACGTGTCTAATGAGTTTCCCGAGAATCTTACAAGGGAAAGTAGCGCTATCCCAGAAAATGCAACCCAAAAATCCAAAATCTCGGATTTTGCTAAAACTTTGCATACAGGGGTTATTCGCCACGAAAATTACATTCATTTTGCATGAAAGTACCATTGTGAGGTTACGGTAGATATACGGTATGCAATCAAATTGTAGATTTGGCTGAAACTTGGTCTAGGGGGGAGGGTTGACACGCTGATGCCGACTATCATATTTATCTCATATGATAGCGCCACTTTCTGGGGCTACGGTGGGTATAAGACAGGGTGTCAAAATTGTGGATTTGTCTGAAACTTGGCTCGAGGGGTAATTTGACATGTTGATCACGAATATCTTGATTTACCTCGCGAAGACGTTTTCCTGTGTAGATATGGTGGGTATATGGTAGGACGTACGGTAGCGGCAAATCTTCCTCCCCTGTGTTTGCTTAGGCCAAGCCGTCGCAGAGTGTGTCGCGCGCGGCGATGGTCTGCATGAAAGGCATGACGATAGAGCGAGTCGGTCTACACCCAACACCAAACACAAAGTTTCAGACAAATTTGCAATTTTTGGCTTACCGTAAACCTACAATAACTTCGTAAAAAGGCCTCATCATGCAAAAAGAGCATGATCATCGTGATTTGCATGTTGAATAGCCACCTCAGCCAGGTTTCAGGCAAATCTATGATTTTGGCCCCATACTGTATACCTACCGTAACCCCACAAAAATGGTCCTTTCATGCAAAATGAACGTCATTTTCGTGATCAGCATGTCAAATAACCCCTCTACGCAAAGTTTTAGCAAAATCCGAGACTTTGAATTTTTGGGTTGCGTATTCTGGAATAGTATCGGGAGACTACTTAACTCTACTTAACTTAGCTTGGCCTCTTGGCAAGGGACATTATTTTTTGAATCACCTTCAAGCGCTGATTCCAATTATGCTATTCTTAGCTGCCGCGCTCCATTTCCAAGCGAGTTATGGGCTTTTTCTGCGCGAAATTGGCATATACTCATTAATTCACTAGCATTGCAGCATCATCGACTAAGTGCTAATACACTTGCATTAAGCTCCTTTTCTTTAGTGAGAAAAAGTTGGATGTGTCATTTTGATATCTCAGCACCTTTTTCTTGCAGATTTTTATTTACAGGCAGTCTTTTCATGTTCAGTAGTATGTCAATTTTGTATGTCAATGCCCCAAACTCGCTTCAAAATGGTGCGCGGCAACTAGGAGTAGCATATTTAAAATCAGCGTTTGAAGATAATTCAGACTATATATGTCCCTTCCAAAAGGCCGAGCTAAGTTGGGTAGCTTTCCTTACTGAAACAAACTTTATTTGCAAAATGCTGCATACTTGTCTTAGAAAAGCCGGAAAACGTGGGAGTTCTGAGCAACATTCGAAGCATAGAGGGAATACTTATCATCGAAGACAACATAAATCTACAAAATTTCACCGAATTTTCTAACTTGCAGGAGATTGGAAATAGAACAGGTACGTGCACTATTCACCTAGGTTGATGTATTAATGTTATCAAAGTACGATTAACACGTTTCAACCGGTGCTGCATATGGGGCAGCACGCAATTTTATGGGTCTCCTTGACAGAGTGAGTTTTATCATACTCCAAAGATATCAGGTCGAAGGTTAGGATCCGTACTTTCAAGATAACTTTATGGGGCCACGCCGCAGCAATTCATTCACGAGATACAGCCACAAATCAAACAATGGTCCCAACACGGTGCGGCAACGCGAACGACGCGTGCGACGCCACAACTTTCATGTGCTTTTTTCTCAAAAGAAAAACAGTGTTTCTGATACCGATGGGTACCCTGTGCATAGTAGGTGAATTTAGTTACCATTCGATACTGATAGCTTATTTCTATCTCTCAATAAAACGAAAAATCCTTTTGACAAAATTCATAGATTCACACTCGGATTTCGGGTATATAGCTTATTTGACATGCTGATCAAAGATATAGTACTGATTTCACGAAATGAGAGCATTTCGAAACTATCAAGCAGAAAATGCATGCTTTTTCGCCGCGGTCCAGAACGTGTTAAGCTAATTACAGTCGAGTAGATTCCTTGTTTAATATGATGTCCCTGGAGACGCGAGAACAGTCGTGCGTCGATAATGCCGTTTTCGAGCGATGTTTTCTAGTGTTTTCTTCCCTTATGCTTTGCTTTCCAGGTATCTCGTTGCTGATAATGGAGAAACGTAGCTGAAGAGTTATTTTTTATTTTCTGAGTAGTTACATTATCGCTTATTCTCAGGTAAAGCCAGATCGCGTCAATTTCATGTGTAGTTTCTGTCATGTCTCTTTCTTCTTGTAAAGCATTTCTTTGAATGTTAGTAGGTTGTGCAGTGACTTCGGCTTCTTTTCAATAGTGATAGCATTTAATCGTATAGTTTGTATAAAGTGTCATAAGTCATAAGTCATACGTAAAAGCTTACCAGCGTATAAAATCTTCACAAGAAGAAAGAGGAGGCATCAAGTTACAAAAGTATACGCATGAAACTGATGCGAAGAGGCATGAGGAGAGAAATACACAAGAAACTGACGCGAGTAGCTTCCACGTAAATACTGATTGAGAATAAGCGATGATTCAACCACTTCGAAAACGGAAAGTACTCCCTAACTTACCTTTTGCTCCTTTATCAGCAACGACTCACCTAAAAAGCAAAGAATAAGCCAAGAAAACACAACAAAGCACTCGCTAAAATTCACAACGGCAATTTTTGACGCACAAGCGTTGTCGCGTCTGCAGGGACACTATATTAAGCAGGAGGTCTACTCGACCGTACTCGATAAAAATTTCTTATCTCCAGAGTTGCGATGATACCGGTATCATTCGAAAAATGCTAGAATCTTCAAATCTTCGCTAATTAGGGTCTTAAGTTTGATAAGCAGGGAGAAGGTGTAGATCATTTATAAAATCGTGACAACGATTTGACTGCGGACTTAGCGCCCACAGGAGCATGAAACGCTCATACAGGAAGACGTCACCTCAGCGCCAGCTCATTCACTTCCAGTGTCCAGGTACTATCATACGTAAGCAAAAAAAAAACCATTCGGCTATAGACGAAGACCATGAATGTGAGGTTTCCGGCGCGCGGTCGCATCATTGTCACTATTTTTCAAATGCCCTATACAGCATTGGTTTGCGTGAGCATCCATTGTTGCAAAATAAAGTTTGAAGTGATGCAAAAATACGGGATGCCTTGCAAACTTTGACTAGAGCTATGACTGTTGAAGTTTAGCGACGCGATGTAAACTTTTAGCATTACGTCCTCGCCTGAACAAGGCGATGCCGCGTTACTGCAATAGATAAAAGCTTTGAAAGATTTTCTAGTGGTGAGATCTGATTTGCGTGTTTGACATTGCTGAAATTAATTAATCCAATGATATCGTGTGCAAGAAGCAGAGCAGTAATAAAAATTTGCTTTGCAAGGGAATGGTCAAAAGTCGAAGTAGCCGTTCCAAACCAAACTGCACTTACAGTTCGCTGCCACGGCAGCTTGTCTTCTGTATCTACTAAACGCTTTTGAGGATGAAGGCACTTTATAAACCTTAAAGGCACCGTCCACCCTAAGTTGAGTGTGTTGCGCTTTTGGCAGCATATAACAATAGGGCCTCCTATCAAGCCAATGCCCAAGTCGCGGCGTAATATGCCGCTTCGGAATAGCGAAGATGCACGAGGACCCCCATCCATGCCCGCCCCTCCCTATCCATGCCCGCCCATTTGTGCGCGCTCATCCAATCACCGTTCTGGAAAGCCGGCCCTTGAATTCTCCGAAATGGGGATTGTCGGGGTTTTCGCGGATTCTCGACTTCATATTTGGAATCAGGGACATGAGAAGGCCCTGAAACGACAAAAACATGGAAGTCGAAAATCTGGGTGGACGGTGCCTTTAAAAAGGCGTTCATTTTGTTAAAGCTTGCTTCGAAGAGTAAACCAAGTAAGCTCAAAACTTTCACACTAAACTAATCAGTCGCTTACTGCAAATATAAAGTTCGCACTTCACGGATAAAAGTGACGGGACTCAAGATATGGCACAATATCCTGCTAAAACACAACAAGCAAGACCAAAACTATAGGTGAGAATGCGCGGAACTTGTGCCCCTCAGCTATAGTAGAAAGATAGGTAGAAGCTGAGATCAGGGTAAAGCGGGGGGTGCGGCACGCCGCAGGGGGGGGGGGGGTCGTTAGGGGGGGGGGTAGGTAGGGGGGGGGGTCGTATCGAGCCAAGGTCAAAAGCACTTGTACAAGCTGTGTGACTAAATTGACTTGATGAAAGCGCTGTTGAATTCCTGCAAAATTTAAGTTCAACGACACAAACTTGCAGATACCGTATGCCTACCGTAACCTACCGTACCTCTAATCAAGCATAATTGTCGTAATCCGCGTGTCGAATTACCCCTATGCGCCAAGTTTCAGCGAACTCTGAGGTCTCCGAGCAGTAAACAACCTTGTATAAAGCAGTAATTTAAAACATGATTAACTTCATCTTAACGGTGAGTAAGCTACCTCTTCTTGCACTCAATACAAAGCACTACTCCTTCTTTGTCCACCTCAGGAATCCCGCTTCAGAAGACCCTTAAACTATTGAATTAGAAGCCAACCAATATCTCGTTTTTCCCATTTTTCGCTTTTGATCGCTGTGCTTTCACCAAATATTACTCAGAGCTAAGAGGACGAATCAGGCTCAAATCACTTTTGTGAAAACTAGGTGATCTAGGCTATCGATCCATATAAATATTGTCCGCTAAGTATGTTTTTTTGATTTAGTTAATGGCCTGCGGCACCCCCCCCCTCAAAACCTGCGGCTGCCGCAAAAGCGAAAAATGGGAAAAACGAGATTTTGGTTGGCTTCTAATTCAATAGTTTGGAGGTCTTCTGAAGCGGGATTCCTGAGGTGGACAAAGAAGGAGTAGTGCTTTGTCTTGAGTGCGAAAACGGATAGCTAATTCACCTTTGAAACAAAGTTAACCATGTTAGAATTTGACCATTTCACTTAGGTAGCCTAGTATCTTAAATCTTCAGAATTCGCTCAAACTTTGTCTACAGGGGTTAATTGACATGCTCATTATGGATATGTTGCCCATTATGTTTGACAGGGCCTTCAAGTAATGCTATCTTAGGGGTATAGTCCAGGGGGGTCTTATTAAGACAGCAATCAGGGGGGGGGGTCGTAAACAGCGATCGTGTGCCGCACCCCTTGCTTGACCCTGGCTGAGATGTTACCGTGATGCCGAAATTTTGGATGCGCCAGCGATATACTAGGTCGTTTCGAAAGTAATTTTGCTCTTTTCATATGGATGCCACATTCGTGGAACCATGATTTCCAAGAGGTCTTGAAGGCATTCGATGCGGAATTTTATCCTTTTTCTAGTGTTTGTAATTTCACCGCATAATATTCAATGAGCTCTCGAAAAAATTACCAAAATCTACGACTTATGCTTTTTGCCACGGTCAAAATCGGTTACTTTTCTGAATTCTTGTACTGACTCCCACAAGAATTGCAAGTAATGGCCAGATAGAGCAAACCCTTTAGGATACGAAACAATTTTTTTCTTAGCTCGTCCCTAGAATTTCTGAAACCATTTCTTTAATGCTACCAAATTCCATATTTGGTCAACTAAAATCTCACAGCACAATAACCGGCGAGCAAAAAGTACTAGCCGGTTATGCTAGCCGCAAGTTGCTAATCTGAAGCGACAAATGCTCATTTGCTTTGTAAAAATAGTGTCAAACCATAACCCTTTGTAAGTTTCAAAATCCGAATCTTTATTGGTGTTTGATGCTTTTTGTCTGCGACGAGCTTGCTAAAAATCGGTGGTTCCAATAAAAATTCTATGACGAGCGATGGAAGGTAGAAAAAAATGATGCTGTTTTCTGTAGTGTTTTCTCTATCCATGCATTACTTGATCCTTCCAAAAGTAGTTACAAAAATTTAGAAAAATTGTGAAACTCACTCTTCTCAAGAGGCATGGGCCGCCAATTTTGGTAATTTATCAAAAACTCATTGGATATTATGCAATGAAATTAGAACGGTTAGAAAGGGAATGGAATGTTGCATCGAACGCTGCCAGGTTCCCTTATAAATCTTTGTTCCACGAAATGTGGCGTACCTTTGAAAAAAGCGACAATACTTTCGGAACGACCGAATACATGTGAATTAAGGCTTTTGACGCATACTGGAAAAGGCGACAACGAAGAGCTTAAAGATGTAGATCGGCAGATTGAGACCCGTGACAAAACAAGGTCACAGAGTAGGAGCCCCCATATGGAACCTATCGGCCAAAATCCGATCTTTCTCTGCCACTTCTAACCCCCGAAATTTCAACGAGGAGGCAGCGCTCTCCTGTATTCTCTGGCCCGCCCACCATGGGATGGGCCAGAGATTACATGGGAGAACACAGGAGATGAGCGCTGCTTTCGCATTGAAATTTCGGGGGTTAGAAGTGGCAGAGAAAGATCGGACTTTGGCCGATAGGTTCCATAGGGGGAGCTCCTACCCTGTGACCTTGTTTTGTTACGGGTCTCATTCTCCGATGTACTGCCTTTAAAATGGAGAGATTTATTATGGAATTTTTTGAAACACTCTTCTCACCGATTTATCTATAATAAGCTATAATCATAGCTTTAGTCTAATGTAAACGATTGCAGACAACAGTGTTATCATGATTATCCGAAATAACTCGGACTTGTCGGATCTTCCATTACCATCTCTCGATTATGCCAGCATATGGAAGCCTGATCCAAGGATCGAACTCGTTAATAACCCAAAGCTAACAAGGAAAAGTACGCATTATATGACGCAACATCCTGCGACAAAAATACCTCAGACAGGCCTTCAACTTGATACTCGTGAAGAAAAGGCACCAAAAAAGTTGAGGATCTTTGACGGTGAGATTTTATACTGAACAAATTGATTCAATTGTTCCAACGTATCCAATTCATCATGCAGAGATTGATCAACTGAAACAGTAGTCTCGCAATCTGAGATTACGTGATGTGTTGTCTTCAAAGACAATGTACAACCGAATAGGGGTTGCAAACTTTGTGTAACAAGAATGGTCCAGTTACTGAAAGTGATTTCTTCGTACCAGGCATTATTGTCCCTTATTCTCACTCTCAATCTCTCATTCCACTCATTTGATCCATCGATTAGGCATCTCTATCGTCTAGTATTCGTAACTTAATATGTGGGACTGCACACAAAGCCTTTCAACGTACGGCACCCTTAACATTAACTTCTCGATAAAATCTTTTCTAACGTAACAAAGTGTGAAATTGTATACTACTAACAAACCAATATCCTATTAAACTGAAAGAAGCAAAGAAACAAGGTGAAAACTCTGAAACGAGCAGGTTCCAATCTTATAAGTTCCTCAAATATGGCGTATGATGTGCAATACTCATATTAAGTTACAAATGACTCGAGCATACATACAAATATCGCTGTAGTTTTATAAAATTGAGACTGAAAGAGGAAAATTTTGTAATTTTCTCGAAGCAATGCACGGCCGTTCCTACATGAATAGTCTACACTACACCTTTTGTGAGTAGAACTGTTAGACTTCAAAGTTTACAAGAGCTGGTTTTCGCGAAATATTGAATTTAGCTTCCCTCTCCCAGTTTTTGTGCCTAATAAGCATATTTTAGAAACCAGCTTTTGTAAGAGGCTGGATCTACAGTTGAACGTATAAAGGCTCGAAGATTTTCGTTTCTTCTAGTCAACTAATATTAAACGGCTTTAGAGATCCGTGGAAAGTTGTTCGAAAAAGATTTGATAGTTTTGAAAATTTTTCGGACATTTAGAGCTATCTACTTATGATTTCATGCAGTTTCAAGCAAGATCAAAAAGCTGCAATATCTTTTTTGATCAATAAACCGTCTGTGATATTTTACGAGTAAATTTTGTAAGCATTTGAATGTGCAAAGTTTGTGCTTATCGAACGATTCACTTGGAATTTTACTTTTGTAGAGTACTCTTGCAAGAAGGTCGAGAAATGGAATCGTTATTTTTTATTGAGTTTTGAAAGAAAAATCCAAAAAAAGTTTGACCTGTTCAAGCTTTGTCTACTGTTTTTTTCGTATTTGCATGTGGCAACCTAGTCATGGTACATTTAACAAAGCATAAACCCCTTTTGAAGATAATATCAATATAACTCCGTTTTTTACACAACGTTTACTTCTTTCCTTATTTTTCTCTTCTTACCTCTCTTATTTCTTTCTAGTCAGACAGAATCTGGGCAGTCTTCGGCATGTTTTTGTCATGAGCCTTTTCCTGACTCTGATTCCAGATCCAACGGGGAAAAGATACTCGGTGTCTATGGCCTTTTGATATGTGAGATATGACATTTGCCATAAGTATTAGGTTGTCCGGAAATTAATGTCCGTTCTAAATTCCAACCGCAATAAGTTATACATTTCATTCTTAAATAGGCTTCAAAGTACCGTTCGATAGAGCAAAAGCTCTACAAGATGGCGATCTCGCTCAAGCAGCGGCTCTGATCCGCCTTTTCGAGCCAAAAACTAAAATGATTCAACTGCCCGAAAAATCGGGAAAAATCATAACTCAAATCATAAGAGACCTAGAAAAATTCTAACTTGCTCACGTAAACACTACCCACATAAGACATCTATGTACGCCGTTGTCGTATTCTTTCCTTTGTTAGAAATCAAGAAAACGGAAGTTTTCATGCTTTTGCCAAAGTGATGCTGCGCCGTCCCTACATAGTTAGTTGTATACCACAAGCCTGTAGAAGCACAGATTTAAATTTTCAGCTCTTTATAAGTTTCAGTTTTAGCTCTTTATAATTTTCAGCTCTTTATAAGTTTTAGTTTCGAGAAATTTGAATTTTAACTTGAACCACCTGACTAATGAAAGCTATAATCGATATTTCTCGAGAACTAAAGCTTGTAGAGAGCTGAAAATTTAAGTATGTACTTCTACAGGCTTGTGGTATACAACTGTCCATGTGGGGACGGCGCAGCATCACTTTGGCAAAAGCATGAAAATTTCCCTTTCTTGATTTCTAACAAAGGAAAAAATACGGCAATGGCGTACATAGATGTCTTATGTGAATAGTGTTTACGTGAGCAAGTTAGAATTTTTCTAGGTCTCTTATGATTTGAGTTATGATTTTTCTCGATTTTTCGGGCAGTTGAATCATTTTAGTTTTTGGCTCGAAACTCGAGGCGGATCAGAGCCGCTGCTTAAGCGAGATCGCCATCTTGTAGAGCTTGCTTTGCTCTATCGAACGGTGCTTTGGAGCCTATTTAAGAGTGAAAAGTGTTTGACTTAATGCGGTTGAAATTCAAAACGGACATTAATTTCCGGACAACCTAATAGTTGACCCCAGAATTGTATTCGTGTGATGTCGACAGCTGCTAAGGGTGTAGAATGACCTAGTGTTTAGCGCTGTCAATTGTTGCACAATAGCCGGTTTATCTCTGTCTGTGCTAATACTGGCAATTCGCTTTTACAAGAGATAATTATCCTCAAAAGAGCGTTCCGCAAGTGACGAGTACCGAGATCACCGGTTCAAAGCGAGCATCCTGCTGTATAATATACTAGTTGACTTTCCCGGTCCAGCCCGGGCCATTGTTCACCTGCAGTGCGAGCCTCCCTCCCTTATATGTCGTAGCTGGCATACCCGGTTTCACACGGAATTGGGTAGCCAAACCGTCAAGAGGTATACACTCCCGAGTGAAATGGTAGGACTTACCTCTCCGCTGTAATGCGCTTCACCTCCACCCACCCTCCCTTTGCCCTGCTTTCCTGCACAGAAAACAACGCTCAAGGAAACCTTTAGGAAAAGAGGGATCCATTAAGCGACTTACGTAGAGTCACCACATGCTGCCTCACCACCGTGTAAAAATGAGATCTACCGTCCCCGTTCACATGGCTGTGGTGAAATGACTTGATAGTGACTGCAAGCTTTCATTTTTCTAGGAGTCAGTAGACAAATCAGTAAATCGATGAAAGGACCTGACGAATTTTTGTGAAAAGTAGCTTACAGAGTGCGCCAAAATTATTTGCACCAAGATATTCGAAGTAATGCCGCAACAATGGCAATGGAGAAATTTGGTCTGGATTTAATGTCACAGAATGGTGTAAGCATACTCTACAAAAAGCACTATCAAGATCCCAAATCGGTCTTTATTTAGAGAAGTAAGAATTGCAAAAAGCAATGTTCGTGACAGAAAAAACGCAAGCTGAAGCAGATTATCAAATAATTTTTTTGTTTTGAATGCTTCTAAAGATTCCGAACCTCAGTGGTCTCAAAGTCAAAGATTACATCTATTTTATAGCGAAATTTTCACCTGAGAGAAGCGATCACTGAAAAGATACATACTGAGCAATTTTGTGGGCCTCTACCCGCGTGCAGCATGCGACAAGTCAGAGAAATGTTATGAATTTTTATCGAAAAGCAAAACAGGCAAATTTACTTCTTTCAACTAGGATACAATGTTGTAGAACCAAGAAAACAATATCAAGCTTGAACGCTGGCTGAGTCGCTCTTATATTCGTATGGCGCTTAATGATATACGCGCAAATAATTGTGGCGCACCCTGTAAAACCGTCTTCAGGGTGAAAAACGTCTGTTTGCAAAGTTTCAGCTCAATCGGTTCAGTCGTGAGCGTTTTCTATAAAGACATACCCTCCAAACAGACAATTTTTGAGTTATATATATATCAGTGGCGGTCTCAGGATTTCGGAGCGGGGCGGGGGGCGGCAAAAATTTTTTTCAAATGAAGGTGCGTGGCGTAAGCCACGCACTCCGGAAAATTTTTTAGGGTGCTTTCTTCTCAATTTTTCTTCTCAAAATTTTTGTAGGCCCATATCCATAAAATCTTGTAAAAGGGGGAAATTTTTTCGGGGGCGTCAGCCACGCCCCCGAAAAATTTTTTTTACAGGGCTAATTCGAATTCTCAAAAAAATTACAAAAATCATTTTAATTGTTTAAAAGAGTAAATAAGTCATTTGCACATTTTTGTAACCCATATAAGTAAATTTCAAGTCCGCAACCCATTCTCGGGGGGGGGGGGAGGGCGATCCCACCCCTCTCTGCCCTGCCCCCCCCCTCGGTCCGCCACTGATATATGTAATAGATTCCAGAAGGTCACGATTGTTAATTATCCTCCAAATTGCCTAAAAACCTTAGAAATCACCATTCTCGAAACATTACGGCGGACGAGTATTACGGCTTTGATCGTTGGGATGTTGTTTGAGAAAATGAACCATAGATAGACCACTTGAATTGCAACTTGATGTGATGTGCGCAGCAGAAAAGGGTTTTGCTCTAAAGCCTCGCGGAAGTCGCATTTTCAAAGACGGAATTGATGTTTTGCTTAAGTTGTGGGCACAACAGTTGCACTTATCAATATCACTTATCAACATTTAGGTAAAGCCCATTCTTCCAGATGCTGCCTTTCCCTGCTCAGCCGAGATAGCGACTCACTAGCGCCACTAGTTGTTTTGGACCAATAGCATAAAAGCGTCTTAGCGCAAAACTATGTCCTGTGCATTGGTTTCAATTTTCTGCCTCACTGTGTTTTTGAGTCAAACCCACTGCTCCCAACTTTTTAACCGTGGACGCACCTGCACAGACAACTTAACAAAATTTATTTGCTTTTTTGTTGTTTGATTACATCAAGCAAAAGCTATCATATTTTTCTGCTTATTGAATGCTTCCTCTTGTTTTGCGCTCAGGGTCAAGCGTGTTAATGCGATCCTAGGCTTTCCTTTACGACCCCCCTTGAAGTACCCATCCCTAAGACCCCCCTCCCCATACCCCCGGCCCTTGCAACCAATAACAACCAAGAAAATTCAGCACGGGAACGGTTCACTTCAGATTATAATTGATAATTTATAATAAATCTCATTTTCCAATGGCAAATAAAAATTCTTCTATCATCATTACTTATAATAACGGGCTAAGGATGTTTACGTGACTTTGTGTGTGTGTGTGTCTGTGAGTGTGTCTGTTACGAAATTCGTAGAGCGTGTTCCAGCCAACCCCCTGGGCTCAAATTTTGCACAGCGCATGCTACCTGCATATAAATCCAACACGCAAAAGCACGGGCCAATTCGTTGAGTGAATCCCTCAGAAACTGCGCGTCAAGCGGTTCCACTTTGCATTTGACGAGCAAAGTTGGGTCCGTAATTCCACTTTTTGTAGGGTTGTGGATATTTATGTTGAGTAAATGTGCAAGCCATGAGCTTAGGCCCAAAAAAGTGATAAATTGTCCAGTACTTTACAAAAACAGCACCAAAAAGTATTGGTTGCGCAATTGGTCAATTTGCCAAGGTTTTACCAGAGCATCTGACGAAATTTTTGCACAAAGATGTAGCTCACGGTGACTGCTGTTCTTATTGCAACTGTCAAGACCACGGGAAAATCAAAAACCTATAAAAATTTGCGTTTGTTCTCATGCAAAAAGTCTCATTCACGCGAAATCACCGATTTCACACATAAAAGCTTTCGGAATGAGTAGTTGTTTACATTTTGTTCGTGATAGTCGGCATTGCTCGGTGAGCTCCAATGCCATCATTATGTGAGAATGAGTAGGGTCTAGATAGTAGAGCCAGTGCGAGCCTTTGCGAAGCAGAGGTGACGCACTGGTTTATAATATTCGGCATAACTCATTCATGTTTCAGTGGTACCGAAAGATACTGACAATGATTCTAAAAATTAGTTTTTTTAAAACGTTTTAGACTGTAATGACAGTCTTGTGTTCCGTTCTCGTAAGCGACACTATTTTTTGCAGGAACGATATCTTTAAAGCTTAAAATATGTTTTTGACTAAAAAGCTTATTTACCTTTTGCACATATTTTCCTACGAAAAAAAAACCGTTTTAGCGCTATTCAGAACGACGTCAAAAAGGTGCATGCGCACGGTACTTTGAAAATTCGTAACTAAAGACAGGAAAAGATTAAAAGGCTCCAATGAATAGTACAGTGCCCAGGCTATCCATGGAAGAAGTTTGACTCATTGTTAGAAGTGAGCACGAGAGAATCTAGATGCGACTCTCGGAAATTTAGATGCGATCCTAAAAAGCGAAACCTGGGATTTTTGAGCTCAAAATCCCTTAACTCACTGGAGACGCAACGAAACAGCTCGAAATTCTTAGGAAAGAAAATAGGACGATGGCGTCGTAATAAATTGCAGCAAACAGGCCTCCATAGCGGCGAAAAAATTTAGACGCGACTCAGATACGACCCCCTTTTTTCATTTTTTGTTGCCATATATAAGAATTCAAAAAATCCACAGGCTATGAAATATAACCAGATTTTGCACAACTGTATCGAGCATCTCCAAAGTCCAAGTAAATTGTATGGGCTCTTGAAAGATATTACAAAAGGTTTTAAAAATTATCGATGGTCATCGCTGGTGAGATGAGCGCTTTCGTCGAGTGTGTTAGACTTCAGTGATGTTCTCGGAACCAGGATTTCTAGGCCAATTGGTACATTTAACATTCTTGTCAGACATACATGCTTAGTGTCTGAGCTTTGAAAGTGCCTTTTGCATACCCGTGGCCAGCAAGTTCGATCCCCCCTGCGACCCTTTTTGCAGGGAAAAATGCTGTTTTTGAAGAGTAGAGGATGTTTGCGACTGAGAAGCTTATTTCCTACGTTCTACACTTTTTCTTATTCGGACCACCCTGTTTTACGACCCTCCCCCCACCTCCGATGCCCCCTTTACGAACCCCGTTGCGACAGTCGCATCACACGCTTGACCCTGTTTGCGCTCCACGCTGCTTTCGCGATTTTCGGAGAGGAAAGGAGGAGGAGGTATCTCATGCAAGAGAAGTGACACATCGCCACATAAAGATGATTTCATAAGAAGCAGTTGTGAGCGTTTTCTTTTGCGCAGCATGAAAAGTCATGCAATAAGAGTATTCATGGCAAGTTTTCAACAAGTGCCTTCGAAAGTAATACTCTAGCCTTGCCGTAAGATATTTACGGCAAGCTTAGTCATGTCATATGAGTTCATATACAATATTTCAGCTGTAATCGACTTTTTGGCTCTTCACAAGGCATATTTTATCGTCAGTGTGGTTGCAGCAGTTATGATTATTCTTCTCATCCTGTTGGCAATCACATCATCGAAGCTCAAAAGCAAATCAAGAAGTTTACTACCTCTTCCTCCATATAACCTTCCCAAACGATCAAAAGAAGTCCTTGCTGCAATGTGTAAGGTAATAAAGCCTGTTAATTTGATCAACTTATTTGCGAGAAAGGCAGCTCATGCAGTGGCGGTTGGGTTGATGCTAGCGAAGAAGAATGAACTACGTGTTTATTGTTTTTAGGAGAAAATTGTAGTTTGTCATGATTGCTCATGCGCAGTTCTGACCGCCTCTACGGATTCATTGGAGAAAGTTATGTGCAACTCCTCTTTGCATTTACTCGACGTCCCTCCGGGTACACCTACTCATTTTACAGAAGACAATTAAGTACTCTTTCCTCTAATTTAAATATATAACAATGAACTAAATTTGCGGAGCAATCATTATCCCAATAAGACTGAGCTTGAGCGGCTCGAGATTCGACCATTAACTTCGGTAAAGGCCATGAATGAGCTCATTTTGTCGTACTCATTCGGACAAGGTTGTGCAGTAACGGGGCTGGAGATTGCCGCTCTTATCTGACTTAGATATTGATTATCATCGACTTGCTAAACTCCACATCTCACAAGTTAAGGTACTGTCACTTATTGCATCATATCATAAAAGTGTGACCTCATCGCAACTAGCTTTTTATCTTTTTAGATCGATGTCACTGACAGTTGCGCCAAAGGCAAGACGACGCTCGCCAGGACTCATTTTATTTGAGTCTTCTAGCGCACTTTAGAGTTTGGAGTAAGTAAGCAATATCATTGACATTGGTTGGTGTTTGGCATTGGTTTGATAATGCAGTCGCGCTCGAAATGAATGTAGTAGTCGGTTTGATAATTCGAGAAGGGAAAGATCATTCCGACTGAAAACCGGAGCTTATAAGAAGCTTATAAGAGACGTATATGATGCTTTTCGGCTTGAGATTAATTCGATGAGCAACTATTACACTGATGAAAGAGATTAAAGGCACATCGCAAACATTGACTACTTTTTTAGCATGAGCCGTTCTAGCGAAAGCCAAGTTTGTTAGATAAATTATTCGTCTTATTTGCGACGTCTCTCCGGGCCTATGCCGCCGAATAAATACATCTCACAAAATGTTTACTTTCTCATAAATGGACAGAGTACTTTTTTGACCAAAATAAAGCAAGAAGCTGGAAGCTTTATGAAGTTGTTGAGAAAACTAAGTGTGGATAATTTCATCTATGTGAATCGAAAATACAGAGTCATTTCATTTGAAATAGAAGTACACTGCCGCGTACAAAGCAAGACGAGCTCTGCAGCAAAGATACGAAAAGTTTTTCACGACTGTTCTGTCAAATATTGAATTTTGGACATATCATGTAGTTGTTTGTAATTTTAGAGCTACACGGGTTTCTATGATCAACGTCCAGCAACTGCCGCGACAATAACCGCTTGATCGTGTACTTCATAAACCTTACTAGAGCATATAAAGATGTACGCGACTCCGTAAAGGAATACTTTTTCTCTGCTGCATCTCCGACAACTTTGTATGCATATTTTTTGCTGTTTATTTACAAGCTTGCTCATCTGCTCATTTCTTTCTTTCAATCAACTAATCGCTCGCGTATTCTCTATGAGCATATGTAACTTGATGTGAATTTCACTTTTGCTCCTTTAACCATGAAAGAGAGTCACGAACCATTTCTTGCTAAAACAGCATTTTCATTGGAATATGATAAGCACGATTATGATCTCCTTAGGCTGATAAATACTGATTAGATCAGCAGGTCCGGTACATCACTGCAGCTGTGCCTGAACTGTGCTCCAAGCGCTGCAGTCACCCGAATGCGGTATTGAACGGCGGTAACTAGCAATTTCAAATGTTTCCTACAATTTTCATTTTAACCTTTGTCGTTTCTGTTCCGTTCGCATATCTCTTTTTGTGATGAAAACAGTTTTGAACTCAAAGAAATTGCAAGTGATGCTTAGTCGTGCCGTGTGTTGCTTATAAGCTGTAATCTCCACTCCGGTACATCTTGCAACCCTTTTTGTTCTTCAAAAATAACTGGGACTTACACATATCCAGCAATCCTAAAACAGGACTAAACCACTCGTCACGATATAAAAAACCCCTCAATTTTTATCTTTCTGCCTTGATGAGATTGGGTTTTTCGGGTTGAGCTTTTTGTTCCGTGGCTTTTGAAATAAAATGTATTTTTTACGCAATTCTTCAAACGCTGATTCCATATCTGACTCCCGTTCTTGCTAATCATTTCTCTGAAAGAAGTATGAAAGCTTTTTTCGTCGAGTTTGGCCGCGGGGGGCAAATATGATAGAAACACCAACATGATAACATGTAAACATGCATTCATTTTTCGTTCAATTTCATTTTATAGGCATCTTTCGGAATAAATGTAGGAAACACTCACATAAAAATGACTTCTTCTTTGAATTTTCAAAGAGTAAGACATGCATTTACCTCGAGGAAACCCAACTCTCAAAAAGAGGCTTGAATGAGGCAATGCAAAACTGAAAAATACAAAATGTGAGCCTACACCTTCATCAGCTTGTGAGGCTATCGCGCTAGCTGCTAGACCACACCTACCGGCCATATTGGTGTTCACATCTTGGCCCGTAGTAAACCCCTCGTGGTTGTCACAACATAGAGGGACTATGTCGTGATAGCTCGGAGTATCTCGCAAGACTATAGCGAGCTATCCGCAGGGCATCGAACCGCTGATGACCGCGACAACAGCGCTCACACGCGCTGCGCTATGAGTGCAGATATGCCGTGGAGTATTTGCTTAGCAAGGCAAGAATGCAGTGTGCTATTGTTGCCAAAGCAGGTAAATCAATCAGGGAAATTCAATAACTGACCATCCTCGCGTGAGCGCGCCTGTTTCTCCATTTTTAATTCGTTATCTTATGTTTGCATGCATTAATAGGGTAGCGCAGCTGATCTATGTGTCTTGCAGAATTATGCTTCTTGCGCACCGTGCTGTGAGAAGGAGCGCCAATATCCGCTACGACAGGACCATATTTGACTCTTCTCAATGAAATTTGGGCGTGCCAGCCACGTGTCAGCCCGTGTCGGATTCGTACCAGATCCTTCATAATAAATCCCATCCTTTATAACCTCTTACGGGCGTGCCAGCCCGTGCCAGATTCGTGCCAGCTTCGTGCCAAGGCACTGACGGTCTACAGTCTGCCCCAATCGGGATCAGGTCGAGCCGTCGGCTGAATTTGCGCGCTCGCAGCGCTAGGGGATTGCGCTGCATACGCGCGCTGTCGCAGAGAGTGAAGAGATCGAGGAGAGAGCAGACTAGCTAGCCGCAGATGTGGCGCGAGACCCTCGCGGCGCGGACTCCCGCCATGCCGATTTTGGCCTGGTTAGGATTGGGGCAGACTGTAACAGCGCACACGTTCGCTGCGCTGTATACTACTACGCCATGCTTTGCTAGGGAAAGGATACACGTAGCAAATAGAGCAGTTGCAGCAAATCAGTATGGGAAAACGATATGCACGTCTGCTTATTATATACACGCCTGCTTATTAAGTATTGTTGAAGGGTTAGTTACTACTTTTGCAATTATTGTGAAACAGCGTATATAAGAAACCTCAACATAGCATACATACCTTGGGGGTGAACGTTCCATGCTACACTGTCTTTTGCATTTTGCTGGCAAACTGAATTTTGCAACGGAACGTGAATCAGAATTTCCTTTTAAAAAAGAGAAAGTGGAATTTGAGACGTACAATACATATGGAAAATGCACAAGAAAAATCAAAATAGTATCATCAGCATTCAGTCCGTTCAAAAATGGGCTATTCCATCAGCCATAACGCCAGACGGTCCTTTCTCATAAAAACGAAAGGAAACGAGAGGTGCATGGCTAACGAACAGCAAGTCAGCAAGGATATGTGGTCGAAACTACCTCAAGATTGAAGAAAAGATCAAGAATTTGCAAAATTTCGGCACGAAGAAGGGATTCCTTGCTCAAACAAGGTGCATTGCCAAATAAAAGAAGAAAAACTGCATAGGTACGAAAAATATGACTAAGTATGAGTCTAATATATTTTTTAGTCAAAACAAACTCACCATTTTCAAATTCCAAAGCGGCAGCAGCAGAAGTACCTAGAGAATAGGGAGAGGCGCATTGCTCGGACTGTTAGGCGGCTATCAGCTGTTGATATTGATTGCAGTTGACGTGCACTACAGAGAACTATGTGCATGTGCGACCTAATGCGAGGTTGGCGTAGTCGAGCTCTAGTCTTGCGCTATGTCTCTGCGTCTCCATAATATGCAAAGTATTTCGCCGTCTCGTCCGTCACGACATGTCGCAATATGTCGCTATATGTCGCGATATGTCGCGACATATAGCGACAAAGTGGGACTACCCTGGCGCTTCGCATTGATTGCACCCGCCGGCAATGATAAAGGATAGCCGCCTTGCCTGCCTCGCTCCATGGTAGTCAGCACATGTCACAGCAGTCAGCACCTGTCACAACCGAGCTATACGTCAGCACATACGGGGGGTTTACTACAGGCCCTGCTTGGGTGGCCAAATTTGGCGCGCAAAATCTTCATAACATCTTTGGGAAACGATTTCCAAACAGGAAGTCGGATTCGGAATCAGCGTTTGAAGACAAGTGTAATGGCATACATTTCCTTTCAAAAGGCCACGGCACTAAGTAGAGTTCCCTTATCAGTGAAAGAACAACTCGGAGCAATGTACAAAGTGAAAGCGATTCTAATTCGCGATAGTTTTTACTTTGCTTACAAAACAAAATAGCATTCTTTTTCCAACACCACTCCAAGTTTAGAACTTTTTTCATTACAAGAGGAAGCGAGCTACAATAATGAGGCACGAGGTTAGAAACGGTCAAAATATGCTAATCCCCTGCTCTCAATACAATGCGGGCGACTAGGCGCTTGCAGCACAGTTCGAGCGTTATGCTGGTACTGTTCCGGAACTTTGGGATCAGCAAATTTGCCCTAGAACATCCACACCGCGCTGTTTGTAGTTTTTGCAGCCTGTTTGCAGCCGTTTTCGCTCTAAGTGCCACTTTTCCAGCCAAAGCGTAGTGGGCCAAGCTATTGTTTTTGGCATGCGTGCTGCTCGAAAACTCAATAATTACATCTTACTAATTTTGTTCAGTTCTCCTTTGTTTCTTCTGCTGCATGCTGGATTTAAAGGCAGCGTCCATGCAAGTCTGGACCTATGGGGATTTTAGTGAAAAGTACTTTTGGGGCCCTAACTAAGCCACTGCCCAACCGGCAGCTCAGGTAGTACCTTAACGCCTAAGATATTCCTTTCGAAACTGGACCCCGCGACCGTGTTTCGCATGGATTCGTGGCGCAAAGCGTGGATCCTGGCGCGAAACTGCCATGAATTTATGCAAATAGGTCGCGGGGGCCAGTTTCGAGGGGAATATTTCAGCCATTAGAGCACTACCTGAGCTGCCGCTAGGGCAGTGCCTTTGTTAGGGCCCCAAAAGTACTTTCCACGTAGAAGCCCCATAGGTCCAGATCTGCCTGGACGCTGCCTTTAAGACAAGATTTTAAGGAAAAATTATATTTAAGACAATTTGTTGCCGTCAGTGCATAGTCTTTAGCGTGTGAAAGCCGCATCATTTACAACAAATATGAACGTGAGCGAAGGGCATGTTATCTAGTTGGACTTCCTCCATAACCTTTTCTTTTTCGGCCCTATTCTTTCACTCCAGTTTCATGCTGGTGATTGTCGTTTGATGTTCACGACTATGCGTCATCACATACTTACTAAGTATACTGACCACTGCACCTAGGTTCTCAAATCGAAACGCTTACAAGAAATACAAGACATGGGTTTAATCAGATAAGAAACTACGAAGAAAATTTACTTTGAAACCCACAGCTAGATCTGAATGATAGTTCGCGCAGTCATCAGTAGTGTGCTAGTAAAAACCATATTTTTCATAGACTTGTACCTCAGACCAGCTTATAACAAAAAAAAACAAATCAGAGTTTTATAAAATTAGTGAAAATGGATCAGTTGTTAAGTTTTTGCGCCGTACGCCGCCAAAAAATTAATTTGGCCGACCGCGCTTAGGCTGCAAAAGCGGCAACCGAAGCGGTCTGAAACTTTGCTGCGCTGGCGCTTGTTCTGTCAGCAAACTATTATCTGATATGATGTACACAGCAATGACAAACTGCTGATTATCTTTGTTTAGTTTTTGATATTTCGGTCGCCTTGACTCTCACACTACACGTATATTTTATGGGTGTTATTACTTTTCAGTCTGCAGCATTCTCTCAGTTGTTTTGCGCATCGTTTTATTTACAGTGTGTCACCTCTTCTTCGCAGAGGCTCGCACTGGATCTATACGCTTTACTCATTCCGATGGCATTGAAACTCACAGACTCAGACTCAAAACTTAAAAAACCGCAATGATCACCATCACGAACAAATTGTAAGCAACTATTCGTTCCGAAGCTTTTCCATGTAAGATCGGTAACTTTGCATGATAAAACATTTCGCCGAGGAACAAATGCAAGCTCCATTTAGTTTTGACTTTTTCATGGCTTGTAGTAGCCATAAGGAAACTAATTATCGTAAGGTACACCCCTGTGCAAATTTTTTCGAAAAAGGCTAGGTAATGATCAGAGAGCACTTGCGCGCGAGAGACGCAGGTGCGTCGCGGGCGCGAGCGGCCTGCCCTGACGAACCTCAACCAGTTGAATCAAAGATAGATAGGCATCACAAATTTTGGTAAAACCTGATAAACAGGCTGCTATATCATTTGTTTCTGACTTGCGGTAGGAGATTGCAACTTTTGTTGTGAAGTCGAGGCCATATATGGTGGGAGGAAAGAAACGATATTTTCCCTTTGAGAGAAGTAATTTGGATAACGGAGAGGTCAAAATTCGTTTGCAAAAGTAAAAGATAGGAGTATTTAGAAGATTATTTTGTTAAGTCAGTCGATGACGTACTATTCCAGCAGCTCAGCAAGCCTTTAGGGCCATGGAGGACGATTTGCAACCAAGAGAAAGCTGCATTGCAGATTGGCGGTTGGAAGGCAACCGCTCGCACCCGTACACAGTCTGCGTCTCTCTCGTGCTTGTGCTCTCCGATTATTTTCTGACATTGATTAGGTCATAGAGCCCCGCCTTCCAGCCGCCAATCCAGTTAAATAAAAGTTATTTGTTTTCATATTCTTATCTGGCTTTATTGTTGTCACTGCAACCGTTGGTACAGCAGGCCTTTTAGTCATATTAGTAGAGTGAAAGACAGCTGCGAACAATGTACAGCTCGTTGTGAGTACTTCTCGCTTTGTTTCCGAGCAGACAATAATGAAGCTGATTGCAGCGCAAAACCAAAGTAAGCAAAAAAACGGCTTTTAGCATAAGAGTTACACAAGCAGTGTACATCTCAATAATGGCCTTATGACGTAAGAAATGATCGTGATTGTCAAAAATTCTGTCCTCACCACTTTGGATGTATTTGTACGTCATTAGATGATGACAAAAAACCGATTTCCATCAGCTTGTCAAAGCTTCTAAAATTCGGGCGCGAGCGGCCGCCCTGACGGAGCTAAACCAGTTGAATCAAAGATACGTAAATACTTAGGGTTGAGCCAGAGTGTGTGGTGTACGGGCGTAAGTGAAGTACGCAGCGTACGCTGGGTATGTTTCATCGTATGGTTCCTTCATACCACGCCGCAGGACGGCAGCCTGCCGCGTTTTGCGCGTGCGCCGTTGCAGTCACCGTGAGAATATGAGCTCGCTCGCTGTGAAAGAACCTCTTGGAGAACACAAACGTGCAGCAAATATGTACATCCATAGTGTGCGAAGCTGTGCTGCCGTTGAGCGTAAATTTTTACTGCGACTTCAGCGGCGCACGCCGCAGCACGCCGGGTCCTGCGGCGTAGTATGAAGGGACCCATAGGAGCGTTCGCAGCGTACGCTGCGTCCGCCGTGTACGCCGCGTACGCCGCGCAGTCTGGCCCAACCCTTAGGCCATTATTATAAGTCAGGATACAGCAAACAACCGCGAAACCAGTGTTGAAGTGATTGAAAACGGAATACGTGCCAACCTAGTTTTGAATAACATCTGAAGCCATTTTGAATGCGACAAATTCAAACACAGTGAAAAAGGTACAAATGGTATGAAAAGATTGAATTTGATCAGAGGTTGCCTACGTAGTATTTACATCAGTAATACCCTGCGCACTACGCATACTATAATGCTCTCGTCTTCGAACTGTGTGTTATACGCAAATATCGCCTGCTTCTTTTTTCAATAAAAAAGTGTAAAATCTCCTTAAATAGTTTGTCAGCATGAAACCTGCATTTGAATACATGTCGATTATTAGACTTAACGTCAAGGTATTTTGAATGTTATGCAATTGATTTTCAAACTATTCGAGAGAGTCAATTATTGTCTTGTGAAGGATGTTCCTGCAGCCACCACAACAAATGTCTACTAAGTCTTGGAGGTGCAAAGCGGGTAATTCCATTATAATGCAAATGTCAGTTATGGTGGAGCCACGCGATAGGCTATCAGTAACCGGCCAAAGATCGGTCAGCATGCCTAAAAGCAAAGTTTTCTGTTGTTTGCTAGGTTTTACAGTGTCTTCGTGTTAGTTTCTACTGTTTAACCACATTCAGTCGCTGAACTCCTTAAACTAATCTGTGAAAAGACAAGAATGACACACAGTACTAAGTAATCATCAAGTAAGAGCCATTTTGAAGCATGCTCTATCGCTTTAGGCTTAGATTGTTGAAAGATAAGTAGAAGATAGTTGAAGCGGAATTGAAAATCAAAATAAAAAGATGGGGACGTAAGCTTAGGGGTTTTAAAAAACGTGAAGCAAATGGTACAAGACAAACAAAAAGGATGTAAGACAAGCATAAATGTGGGCGAGCTCCCTCCCTTCACTGCTGCCTTCCGTGCGGAACTTTGACGCCACGTGCTGCAGTCTTTAACTGACCCCGTGCGAAGCTACTTTTTGTGTCGTCTTCAAAGCTGACTCGTTTTGTCAATCAACAATTGGTAGAAGCTTTACTTTGTTGCAAATACGACAATACTATGACACGTACCTTTTAGGATGTTGTAGTCAATATTCCTATGGTATGGTGCATACTCGATCGACCATTACTGTGGCATAATGGTAGGATACTGACTACTGCGTAATCAATAAAAAAATCTTGTTCAAGTTATGAAAAACGAAGACTCATCCTCCACTTCTCAGGGCGAAACGCCGAAGCAGAACATGATTGCTTTGGCACCGGTTAGTAAAACCTACATTTACTGCAATGTCTTATTGAAACAGGACTTTTACTGGTCCAGTGTTCCCTGAAAGCTTGCTGAAGAGAATGTGACAGTTATCTACAACAATATTTTTATCTTTCGGTCACATCCTTGCCGTTGTAACTATTTTTGAGGGCGTAAACCTAGATAAAATTTCAGCGCAAATCGAAGAATGGCAAGACTAAATTGAGATAGTGTTTCGATCCAAAACATCTGTGCCGCTTTTTGAACCTGTCCGCAAGTGAACAATAGAGTTGAATATTGATAACGTTGATCGCAGCTTTTCTATCCCCTATGAATGCAATCTATGCATACTTTCTTTGTATACACATCATGACTGTTAGTGTCACCAGTACATCCCAAATAGTTTCAAGATACTAATCTCTTATTTAAACGAAACCTGTAATTATTCTATAGACTTGTATTTGAAGAGAGTTGAGTATCGAAACATTTGGACTCTGAATATCTTCTTACTTCATCAGTCTTACTGTCATGAAGATAAGGTAACTTATGTTTAATTAAGACAAATCGCACATGCTTACCTGGGCCCGTAGTAAACCCCTCCTGGTTGTCACAACATAGAGGGACTATGTCGTGATAGCTCGAAGTATCTCGCAAGACTATAGCGAGCTATCCGCAGGGGCCGCAAAACGAGCGCCTCCGCACGTCATCGAACCGCTGATGACCCGCGATAACATCGCTCACGCGCGCTGCGCTATACGTACGAACACTGCCGAATTCCACTAAAACGAAGGATAAGGTGCACATAGCAAATGGGGAATTGTAGCAAAACCAGTATGAACGAATATGCAGTTATTTTCGCAGTGCCTGGTTCCTTAGTACTGAAGTTCTATACGTGCAAATGCTTTGAAACAAGTCTATCCAAGGCGCTTTGTAGATAGTGCGCAGGTGGCGCAGCGCCAGTGACACGAGGGAGTGTGCTAAAGGTGTTGGGTTCGAATTCCGCGCCATGCTGCCTTTTGCAGTTTGCCAGGTAGTCGTATTTTCTTGCAAAGACACAAATCAGCAAATTTCTTGTTGGTAAAGAAAGCTGGCAGCCAAGACACACTATATTGGCATGCATAGGAAATATCAGGACATTATCAAACATTCACTACCTTGGTCTTTTCAAAAAAAGGCTGTTCTCTTAGCCGTAAGCCAGACGACCCCTTCTCTCAAAAACGAAAGGGAACGAGAGGTACACGACTAGCGAATAGCAATTCAGCAAAATTATGTGATGTAAACTACTGAGATTGAAAGAAAAATTGACTATTTGACAAATTTTGGCACGAAGAAAAGATTTGGTGAACAAATGAAATGCATCGTGTGAATGAAGAAGAAATTTAGCGTAAGCACGATAAAATATGACCATAAACGAATCTAATAAACTTTTCAATCGAAATAAACTCACCTTTTCTGAATGCCAAAGCGTAGAGCAGCAAGAATACCTAAGAAGTGGGGAGAGGCGCATTGCTCGGACTGTTAGGCGGCTATCAGCTGTTGATATTGATTGCAGTCGACGTGCGTTATAGAGAACTGTGTGCATGTGCGACCTATTGCGAGGTTGGCGTAGTCGAGCTCTAGTCTTGCGCTATGTCTCTGCGTCTCCATGATGGACAAAGTATTTCGCCGTCTCGTCCGTCACGACATGTCGCAATATGTCGCTATATGTCGCGATATGTCGCGATATATAGCGACAAAGTGGGACTACCCTGGCGCTTCGCATTGATTGCGTTCGCCGGCAATGATAAAGGGTAGCCGCCTTGCCTGCCTCGCTCCATGGTAGTCAGCACATGTCACGGCAGACTCCGAGCTATACGTCAGCACGTACGGGGGGTTTACTACAGGCCCTGATGCATGGCAGAAACAATTCCAGAAATGAAGTTTGCAGAGCTTTTTGAGTAGGCTTAGTTCTTTATCTTGTATAAAACGGGCAAAGTCGCTTTTTATATGTCAAAATTTTAAATGGCAAGAGAGTGAGAGTTAATTTGGTAGCGACTTAATAAGTTTATCAGCATTGTCAAATGCCTGCTTCGCTCACTCTTCCATAACTCAGTCCCAGAACTCTTCAAGTTAGAATTATCAACAGTTTCCGATCGTGGCAACATGAACGTGAAGAAAAAGAAAAGCATTGTCAAATAAGGTTTGAGTGACTAACATTATGCCAATTGCGGATAAGTTCAAAAAATGTTATCCTTTCAAATCGACTTAAGTACAACATCGCCGGATAGAAACACAGACTGTATATTTCTACATGTTCAGAATGCTCTTGTTCAAACGGCGAAGGAAAGCGATTACAACAAACCGCTATTGCAACGTGTGCAGATGTTTCTCGATTACGACTACATAGTCATGATTGGAAGCAGTGACGATATCACAAAGATAGTTCCACGCTTGCCAAAACAAATTGGGAATCAATCGTTGTATATGGGTAGGTAATCACAGTTATTATCATTCTTAGCAAAAAATGTTTCTCAAAAGGACACATTACACACTGATGCGTTGTGCGATCCCTGTTTCAGTGTGACCAATCAATTGTGCTTGCGGCCGCTTGCTCACAAGCGCTGTTGATATTCTCACTGATTCATTCCGTTTGATGGTTCGAACCCTTTGATCCATTCTTATCGAATTGGGCTAGAATTTTGAACATGACACACTACCAGTGTGTGGGTCCATTGTGCAAAAGCACAACAATCAGATGTGAGAATCCCTTAGAAATGTGGGGAAAATGGATTCATTCCTATCCCACTTTAATGTATTGGAGGGGGGAGACTTTGGTATGAAAAGGCTCCCCCCACGGGCATAATTCGTAGGAGGCTCTAAACCTCCACATATTATATATCGTCTGAAAGCTCTTGATGAGAAGAATCTAAATGAAATCGCTACATGATTCATGCACTTCTGAAGAAGTTAAGACCTGTTGAGGTTCAAAAAGCGCTTTTTTACCTGCTTTTTCAAGACTCTGGATCTCGGCACTCTTTCAGTGAATCGGTACGGCTAAGATATATTCAGATAAGGCAAACCTTACTGTACAAGATGAAGTCGCAACATCACACACTTTCACTTTCAAGATTTAGATGACTTTAACTGTCAACTGTCAAAAAACACGCAAAAATGGCGTAAATATTTAGAATTCTGGTTTTCAACGACTATCTCTCAAAGCGACTAGATTCCTTCACTCTGATAGAGCACCATTTACTCTTCAAAACCTATGAAGTCGCAGCTGCTGACATCTTCAAACAACAGATTTACAACAGTGGAAATTTTGCATGATTTTTCACCATTTAAATATTCAGAATGGTTCCCGGCCGTTACTGCTTAGATCGACCTACTTCCTTCGCAATATGTTATGACAAATTACTTTATAAAATCCGTACAGTCCAACAAACCTTTAATTCCAAATACACTATTTGATAAGCACGTTTATTTTAGATATTTATGACGATGTATACATAAAAATATGCTTACAGTAACCCCTTTTGCATTTGTTTCGCTTATTTTCCGCGACCTGGCGGCAACGACCTGGAAGGATAGACGTTAATGCTCCCCCACCCCCCGGTCGACGTTTTTGGGAAGTGAGTGTTCGGCACTACCACCTTCACTTTTCGCCGGCCAGTGGTAGCTGGGACCACCTTCACTTTTGGTGGGCTCAGCTCCCCCCATCGCACCTCTGGTCATAACTATCTGATCACTTTTGAGTCTATGTAACGAGTGTTTGATAGTAGAAGTCTGAAGCTACGCACTCACAAAAATCACAAGTAAAGAACGGGTACTTGAATTTTTATGATCGAACTTGCATGTCAAACCGAACTATTTACTTTTGTAGCTATGGAATATGTCCAAAACTTTCGCCGGATTTGCGGGACCTGCCTAATTTGGATATAACTTCTTCTAAAACAAATTTATTTGAATTTCGCCAGAGAATTTGGTTTCAAATTGACGAGACGAACCTCCTGGTATATATTATGTCCGTAATTCACGGTGATACGCTAGACATGTGATAATGCTTTGTTATTTTTCTTTGATATTGCTTCATCATTCACTAATGATATCACAGAATTGGATTATTTTTGGTGTATGGTAAGAAAAGTACTGTAGAAAATGCTGTGCGAGTTTTTATCGCTCTATCCCTTGTAGGTGACTACAGGCCTCTTCGGTTCTAGTGCTCGGTGCAGCATTCTGCTTCAACTCCTTCGCTCTGTCGAGCCATTTTTATCTGCCTAAAATGATTATATGACAAGGCAGATAAAAATGGCTCAAATCATGTAATGACTTTCTTCTATGTGTTTGCGAAATCTCAACTCCGCGGCTTCAGCGTGAAGCGCGATAAAACAGGAAGGTCATTTTAGGTAAGTCGATTGCTGCAGCGAGAGATCTACCAACTGCACCGAGCAAAACCGGAAGCCTATAGTTACCCTAATTTCACGCGTATAAGGCGCAGGGGATTTTTCCAAAATCGATTAGCCCAGACAAGCGAAAGGACTCTACAACCAAAGGACTCTATAACGTGCTGCATATTGCTTGAGAGAATCGTGCAATGTAAGGATATGTTTCCGGAATACAGTGAAGCGGCTGAGCGGCTCGCTTGAAAATTCGAAAAAGTGCGCCTTATACGCGTGAAATTAGGGTAATTATAAAGAGGGATAGAGCGATACAGTACTTTTCTTAGAGTATACCAAAAGTGGTCCATTTCTGCGATACCATTAGTAAATGATAAAGTGAACAATATCAATGACAAGGATGGATGATAACTCACAAACAGCTCTTTTCTCAAAAGCTTTCGGCAATGAAAACTTGGTATAAAACATATTATTCGCAGTTTTCACTCAGATACATCTTCGCAAAAGTATCATAGAAACTAACTAAGCATCATCATATGTCTACCGTATCATCATGGATTGGACATAACATATACCGGAAAGTTCGCCTCATCAAGCTGAAACCAAATTTTCTGGCAGACTATGAATTTGTTTTGAAAGAAGTTGTAGTTAAATCCCATATGTCCCACAAATCCCGCGAACCTCGCAAATCCCGCAGTTTTGGACGCATTCCATGTTACCTGTATTAGCTAACCCAATTTTTTTGACCAAGTAACTTGAAACCTTATCTATCTCTTGCGAATCAACTATGAATCATTTACCACTCATTTCGCACATTTATGAATTATAATAATTATAATATTGAATATGGTGGCATTAAAACAAAACTTTTGGAGTGACCGATTACACGAAAACTTTTTTCAAAGTATGACTTTTTTGGAACTTGTTCGGAGAAGTACTGAGAAACTCACAACTATCCTCTGATGCACCATGACCTTTGTCGATTTCAAAAGCTTGGAGGGTTTCGACGAACCTGTTGAAGAGAGGCAATATGACATTGGCGATGGGGCACGTTGTTGAAATAGAGTATGGACGGAAGTTTCTTACTCTAGCCATATTCTCGCACCTGAATGGTGTACCTGCCAGGCACATTCGGACTCGCTATAATTGCGAGCATTCTGAGATGCCAAAACATTGCAGGCCCCGCTTCTTATCCTGCGTCACTTCGATGCTGAAACCGGGATTCCAGGAAAGCAAAATCAAGGTTTAGTAGCAAATTTGTTCAAGGCCATATTATAGATCTAGGGGATATTCGAGATTGTTTGAATTCTGAGCTTTCTAAGTTTACCACGAAATTTTCGGAGTGAGCCAGCCTTGTTGTGTTGCTACATACAGACCTCACTTCTAACAAGGAGAGGATACTTAGTCGAAAGCACCAATCCAGATGAGACATATATTATCCTAAAGCGCTTGAATCGCTGATTTCGAATCTGTAGTTTCTAGCAGCGGAGCGGTTTTGTAGGAGTCATGAGGTTGAGGTTCTTTCTGAGGTAGAGGCCTCTTCAGCAGATCTCCTTGTATCTATGAACACTGTAGAGGAGTACCAACTGGTGGTAACTGGTCTTGTGGTAAGTGACTGCTTGATAAGGAGAGTGTCAAGATTTTAATCCCTTCGCATGCAAATTTATCGCATTTTTTGCATATAGATAAGGGAAGAACTGCTGGAAGGCGCCTCAACTCTAGAGGGAAAGACCCCTCATAGCTCCTTCTACAAAACCGCTCTGCTACTATAAAGTACAGATTTGAAATCAGCTTTTCAAGCGCTTCAAGATAGTACATGCCTCATCTGGATTAGTGTTTTCGACTAAGTATCTTCTCACTGTAAGAAAAAAAAGTATTCTCATTATTTTAAAGAACCATATTATAATCTGATCTAATTTTCAAAAAATTCTTTCTTTTAAACACTCTCGATTACCTGAAATTCCTGGAAAAAATGGACAGTTTTACAAATGACTCATCACTAAAATGCTCCATTGCAAAAATGTTATATTTATAGTGCGCCACTCTAATCAAATAATAGGACTCAGGTTTTTTTTGACAAAGTCACATTGCTCTTTAATCAACTTGCCATCACAAAGTTATGGACAAATTGTTTAAGATGTCTAAAGCATGAATCTATACAGAATTTTGTCCTGAATGATATTTACATAATATGTATCAATGTTGAAAAAAAGCGATTTTGAGAACCCGCAAATCCGAATCTTGGCCTTGTTTGTAAAAGGAAAACTCGAGAAACCGTAAAACGATTTTGAGTTTTAGTTAGGCATTATCGGTGCTAAACCTTTGTTTTGCAACAAATTTTCATTACCAAAAAAGCAAACCCAGGTACCTCAAGTCCAAATTTGATTTGAGATTTCACTACCGAAATTCGATTTCGAAACTTTCTTTGTTACTAATTCTCAATTATGAAATTCACAGCTTCTACATATAGCCAGGCAAAATCGTATCATCCCTTTGATACGCTTCAATGAGTTCCCCTCAGCTAAAACACTTCCTGTCCCGCATAGCCGCGTGGACGAACTTGCAGGTCACGCGCACACTTTCATGTTGCATTATCTGTCTGTGATACTGTATTCACGTTGCACCGCAATATATAAGCCTCGGAATACCATCCGCGCTTTTCAACATAGGGGAGAAACGGGAGTTGTCGGGGATTTTACACGATTCAAAATTTAGATTTATAATGAAGGTCATGAAAAGACTCGAAATTGACAGACAGGGAAGTAGAAAATTTGCATGGATCCTGCCTTTAGGGGTTTATCTGTAAAGTCTGTCCAAATTTAGCCTCTATCACATTTGCAGAAAGCATTCGAAAATTATTTCTTGTTTTGCTTCGGATCTTGAGCCGAGTGCTTGTTATAGATGGACGGAACGGCTTTTCTGTAGCCTACAAACTGATGGCTATGGAGTACCTTTCGCCAAACATAATTCACTACAAGTACGAAGCCAGAAATGTTCGGAAAAAGTCACAAAAAATGCTTCACGTACTTTTTTACCTATGGTGAGTATTTTTGCATGTCTTGATCAATTTTAATTCGAAATAAACACATAATGCGATTTTGCTTGCTGATTTGCTGGTGTTAGTGACGAATGGATATGAAAAATTATTGGCATTGGCTGTAATTGCTTATAATTCAGCCTCTGTTAGAATTAAGGCGCCACATGAGAGTCTTGCTTATGTAAACTGAGAAACAAATCGGAAGAATTTTTTTCATTATAGTCGTTTCTGCATCTTGCTTGTAACTTCACAACTATGACATTCTGCAGATAAGTCAGCTAGAGCTTGTGTGCATGAAAGTCTCTGCGGCGAAGGGAGCGGGTGTTCTTTGTACTTTATAAATTTAGCGATAGCGATCTCGTTTTCAGTGGCAACTCTGTATTACCACTTCCGGCTTGAGAGTTAATTTTCAAATTGCACAATTACTTGCTTGCCGAAAACATCAGCAAATTCACTCGGACTTAGTCACTTAGCTTTTGGTAAATTCTGACCATTTCTCAAAAAAAACTTGGAGAATTTTGTTGGGCCTCTCACTTTAACTGAAGCAGTTCTAGGTGTCACGTGCTAGCCGATCGTAACTTAAGGTGACGATGACATGAAACGCCCTAAAAAGATTTGGTTCTGGCAGTATCAAGCCCTGTTCAACGCGAAGCAAGAAAAGAGACACATACTTCTAAATAACCTGCTCAACTCTCTTACATTTCCCATTTAGCAAAAGCTCTGAAGTGTATTCAGACATTCAATTGGATTTTTGACGTAAATTACTATGAGTTTACGTGGTGTGCAAAAACTTTAGATAAATGTTGAAATGTACTCGCATTCCATTTGTGCCTGCAAAGAAGTTTTTTGAGTAATGCAAAGTGTTTTGGTGCCATTGGATGCTTTTTGATCAATGCACTTTCAGGGAAAAGAAACGGCTTCCAATAGAGTTTTTCGAGTTAATGCAGCTGCTCAAGTTTTGCTCGCAAAGAAAAGTGGTAAAGAATGCGGTTCGGGTTTACAAAGTTCTCAATCATTGCATTTCAGATGTGCGTAAGCGATAGGAGAAAAGAGGTCTTCTCATTATTGTATTTGATTTTCAAACAAGTTATGCTATCAAAAGAACCGCCTAACATCACGAAAACCTTTCAACAGCACCTTCGTAAGTAAATGTACTATCGGATTTCATCTATATTATGATTTCGGCAGACCTCATTATTCATCATTACATACAGATAAAATGAATTAGAAGCCTACATCCTACTGACATCTTCTCTTTTCTGATGTTCGAGGACATGCTTTTTGACATAGACTCAAGCCTCTACGGAAATGCTGTTTGTTCACTTGATATCACTATTACAAATCAGAATACGTACACTGAGAATTCCTATTCTGAACGACTGCATGTGCATACAATATGTATGTGCAAGTGAGCACAGAACTTTTGGGACGAGTATTTCTGGCAGCATGTCTATCTCTAAAATTTGCCTTCAAACTTTAGAGGAATATTATAATGTATGAGAGTCATCTTGAACTTTGGCCATATCGCGTGTTGCCCAAAATCAAACACTTACGAAAACGGAATCAAGATAGATTTAGTGGAGAAGACTTCTTTGTCGGAAAGTAAAGCATATCCCGTGTTGTGAGCATCAAATGAGCTAATAAAGGCTAGTTCGTAATCGGTGAAAAGGGGGAGGAAATGAAACAGCGCTCATGTTTCAATCTATGCAAGGTGCTTTTTTGTTTGCTCACGGGTGCTTGCAAATGCAAATGTTCTAATAATCTGTATGTTCTATCTTCTTCTTTTTATTTTTTGTCTGGTGAAAGTCATTAAATAGTTACGATTTCTATCAAAATTCAGGAAGCTGCAACGGCGCTCCTCTCGATCGTTTTGAGATGCTCTTTGTTATGCGATTCATTTTACATTGGGCTCAGGAAACATCAAGCATCCCCTTGCAGTTAAAAGAGGTGCCTTTAATTGCAGCTATAAATTAGTACTTATAACAACTTTCAGAAGCATTCGATGTGGTGTCATTTGTACACTCAAATGTCGGAAATTTCGGACAGACATTACAATTAGTGAGTAGACTCATAACAGATCATCAAAAAACTTTCTTATGTAGATACTCACACCTGTCTGATAGATAAACTACACATGGGCAAATTTATGTTTTAATCGAGATAGTCAATTTTTTGAAATTTAAAAAAAATTTTCAGAACTTATTATAAAATTTTAAGTCTTCCTTATTTATAACTGTCTATGATCAGACACATTACTTTGCTCATCAGATCAAGGTTTGCGCATAAACTTTGAAAGACAGAAGGCACATCTCAATTTTTCAGCGAATCAACTATGCTACATGTTTCATTAGAACATCAAAAAGATAATGTCGCTTCTTATTTGCACGCTTAGCAAGCCTTAGTACAAGCTGGCATTCATGATTTCGCGCCAAGTTCGATCCTTAAAAAGTCTGAACAAAAGAGTTTTAAACGTTCAAAAACTAAAGAAACAGGATCTCCACATACTGTCCACGGACCTTTCATTCGCATGCATCTATAGTTTCGGTTGCTGTATTTTCCTTGATTGAAAACGAGAATACAAAAAAACTTTGTTTCTTCTCAAAGCAATGCTAAGCCGTTCTCACATAACTGATTCTATAGCACAAACCTAAATAAACATAACTGAATACAGATACAATGACTTTCTTGTGTCGTACGGTTTTTTTTACAATGACACACCTTATTATAAAAGGACATATGGAATGACTGAGTATTTTTAGCCTAATCCGAGCGATAGCTTCAGACAAATACAGAAATTAGCAAAAAACTCGAAAAGGCTAAGCTAAATCTGTTATTTTCAAAACCTATCACTCGAAACGGGCTGAAAATTTCCTATCATACTACGCAGATTTGTAGAGGTTGCGCCAAAATTATCGGCGCCAATATTTGCATTGCTGCCACAAAAAAAACAATAGAACCATAGGCTCAAATTCATGTCATAGAATGCCCTAAACAAATTCTGCAGAAGACGAGTTAAGGGATTCAAAAAGAGGTCTTTTCAAGAATGTAAGAATGAATAGAATCAGACTAATAGTTTTGCAAAAAAAAAAACGAAAATGGAATTTCTATGCCTTCTTATCTTGACAAAATGCCTTTCTAAACCAACCTGAGCTGAAGCTGTAGAGCACATCCCGCACTATCACATACTTAGTTGCATTTACAAAAGTTCTTTTACTAGATACGACAATGTATTCGCGAAAAATACCTAGGTACGAGCAACGATCTTTTGCCAAAATTCGATTTTAGACTCCAGATATGCAAAACCTTTCAGAAAAAAACATACTTCTTTTGCAACGTGTAAAAGAGTATTTCTTACGACCGATTTTTGTAAAAATTCTGAAACCTATCTAGAAAACATTTTTTGATACTCGGCAGCAACCAGAAGGGCCGAAACACCGCTGATTTTCGGTATGCTGCCTCTCAAGCTTTTTTTGAAAAAATGAAAATCCTTTTCAAATTGACCTTCAAGTCTCCGTGCTCAAAATTGTTAGAGACAAAAGTCTGCTCTTTTACTGCGCAGTTTCAAAGCATGAGAAAAGTTTTACAAAGAGAATATTGTATAAATTCTCTAAGTAGTACCGAGTTCACTTCAGGCAAGAATATTCAAGATTCTCCGGAAGATAAAGCACCCAACTTTTAATTCGACTACTGCATTACGATGATAATGGTTGGCGAAAACGGTGAATGCTTAATCCGTCGTCAAGCCCATCTTGTACTCTTCTGGCACCCAGAAACACGCACCGGTAATTTTACGAAAAGCAGGAAATTTTTGTTTCTAGTCGAGGAAGTATTACAGCAACTGCGCATATGAATGCCTGATATGGAAGTATAGATGCATGAGAGGGGAAGGTCTGTAGAACTTATTTTGACAGAGTTTAGATTTTTTACGATTTTTGGAAATAACGCATTTGGGAATAACGCAAAACAGCCTGAAATTTCGGACCGACCTGATGCATGATGTGTGGTCTAATTGCAATATTCCTTTTTAGGGCCTCGTACAGAGTTCACGCGATTTGATCGTCGTGACTCAATCGCTGCAAGACAAGTGTTACAAGTTCATTGCATGCCGATCTTCTTGCATTTCGGTTGTGATAGTTTCCCAACACGACTAATTGTGGCTAACTATTACAGCCGAAAGAAGATCGGCAGCAATGATATTGTTACTGTTGCCTTGTGCGAATTGAGTCGCGACGATCAAATCGCGTGAACTCTAAGCGAGGCCTAAGGAGGACAATAAACCATCCAGCTGACTTTCTAAGTTTGCGCTTTGGCAAGACGGAGATAGAACGTATGTAAGGGTTGGAGTTTGTCATATCTTTACTTTAATATGACTAACGGAAACGGTCGGAATCGGGTAAATAGTCGGCACAGATATATTTCGAACACTGGCAGATGTCACAGACTAATTTTGAATGAGCCTGCCCAAGTGATTCATTTCAGAAAAATATCGTGATGCATCCTTTACCAATGACTTTCATCTATGCCGCATATGTAAGCGTGACAAATACAGCGCTTATGTTTCACTATTGAGAGAAACACACACAAAATGTTTCGGGTACTCTCTCATTAGCATTGCTTCCGTCTCCTTTATTTTTTACACATTGTTGCAAATAATGCAAACATCTAATAACGATAAGATTTTCTTACCATCAGGTGTGAAATGCACGCCTGTCATTTTTGAAATTTTTTAATGTGTTTTTCTACTTGAAAATCCCTTTATAGTAAAACACACGTCAACAGAATGGATACGCTTTGTTCGTGCATTTCGTTGCATATTTTTTCAGCATGAGCATTCATCCTCAACATCTTGCCGGAGATATAGCATGGTTAGAAGAGGATTTGAAAGCTGCGTACGCATCTTTGACTGGTATTTGTTCGTTTTCCGAACATCCTCGTACTGCAATGCTCGACAAATATCGTATGATGACTGAGGAAGAAAAGAAAAGGGAAGCAAATCTGCAGGCGCAGACAGATCCCATTTATGTGTGTAAAGCTTCATGCTTTTCAACTACTTTTGATCGCTTATGTTATAGAGCGAGCCGAGAAAAGAAAAAGATCAATTTAATTTTTCACCAGCAATTACTAAAAAGAAGTGAGCATCTTCCAAGACGTTCTTGAGAAAACTGGAGATGTTTTAGATCTACCAGAAGCATTATACGAAGCAAAGAAAAAGTTATTAGTAAAGATAAGGAGACATCTATTGAGGCCAATGATTTGTCCAAGGAAGACAACGTTAAAGAGGAGTCCTTGGAAGAAAAACCAAAAAGCCGATCTGTAACTATCGAAAGTTCTAGCCGCGAAGGAGTCAAGCACGACAAAAGTCCTGAAAAAAAGCATTTGCAGATAACGTGAGCAAATATCTACAATATTGCGTTTGTTTTATCCCTCGTCAGACCTTACCTCCCCATATACAATTTTTTGGCGCCCACTGCGCTGCATACGTCTCCAATTAGTAAGGCCTCATGCTAAATATGTCTCATCGCAACACAGGTCACTTTGTAGGTTTTATATCCTTGTGTTATGTTTCCTTGGGAGAAAAGTGTTGTACGAAGTTGGTGCAAGTACTATTTGATCTTAACAAATTTTTAATGATGTTCAAAATACTGTCTGAGTGACACAGGGTGCAGGCGCTACCAAAAACTTTCTGATTACTAAAGTTTGAATCTACATTCAGTTTGAAGCCAATTTTTGAAAAAAATTCAAATCAAATAAGAATTGCAGCACTCTTCATAAAATCTCACAGGCCATTTGATTGCACATATGCTATTTCAGACCATGCATAAATGCTTACTCTTTCTTCGCTATAACTTCAAAGCAAAAACTAGCTGGCTCCTGCTGATGCGTGCGTTTTACCCTCATAAGTTACATAGTACAACATAATTGCTTGACAGCCTTCATTCGTCGCTCTCATCAAGGCACCATAAGACCAGCCCGAGGCGTATTATTCCAACCCTAAAGCCCATCTGCTTTCTCCAAAAATCGAAAGTTCTCATAACGGCATGCATTTTCTCTTGAAAAAGTATCATTCATTCTTTTACCAAGGCACACGAGCACGCTTTGCACACGTTTGTTAACAAGTTCACGAGTAACTTTGAACGCATTTTGGTTAATAACCTATAAGGTTCTTGATGGAATTTGTGCTCGTCAACAACGCAAGTTCGATGATCTTTCACAATTGCTTAGTGTGTTTTATCATTTGACTAAAACGTGTTAAATCGCACTCAGAAAATTGATAACCAAGTACACGCAAAGCGTGCTCAAGTCTCTTAGATGGGGGGAATGATACTTTAAAATACCCTAAACTACTTCCCTAAGCGAGAAGTAGTTTCTTTACTCAACTCAAATGAATGTGTGTAGTGTTTGGTAAACGCCTCCTTCCAGAATTTTTGGGGAATTTCAGTATGACTACTGTAAAAAGCTGATTTTCTTTCGTTGTTCTCGTTGTATACGTTGTTTTCAGAGATTACTGAAGAATGTTAATGTTATCAGTTCTCATCAAACTTCTTACTTATTGCAAGATGACACCTTAACAAGGAAAACAGGAAATATTTGATCAGTTACACTTTATTTGAATAAATTTGCTTCACATTTCGTGTATCTTACACGATATTGCTTTGTTTACAGTTTTAAAAAGCAGAGCAGGTTAAAAATGTTTTTGTTGTACATATTTTTATGGCAACTAGTGCAAGCAGAACATGCTAATACCGTTCTAGTACAACAGTCTCAAGCATTATCTTCATATATAGATCGGTTCATAATTACCGAACTCCTCCTTTTTTCCATTTCCCCGGCTTTTTGAAAGAAATGCAAGAAACCATTGGTACCATGTGAACGAGGCACTTCCGAAAACAGTATACATAGCACAAAAATGAAATCCGGTGTCAAATTCGGAGAAGCATTGTGCGCCGAACACTTTTTTGACCGGTTCATAATTATACGAACACCTTAATCAGACCTCTTTTATCGCTTAACGTTGCAATCTTTTTCGTTCAAACTTTCACGTAAGGGCACGATTCAAAAGACTGAGGTACATACTATGCGCTGAACGTAATAGTGTTTGAAAAAAGAAACTTTATTCTACTTTGATAACCCGAAATGGCTCCGGAACGAGTCAACTTCGAAAATGACGGATTTACTGAAATTTCAAACTTCTATCCAGCTCATGCGGATAAAGGATGAGGGATCCACAATTTTGCAGTCCAGCTCCCAAAAAGCATTGATGTAATCGTCCCAGTTCCCAACCCAGCCCACACTTACCACAGATTGGCACACTTTCAAGCCTCAAAACTCGACTTCTGCCGTCCGGAAAATTTTGTAACGTTGTAAACATGATTTTGTACGTGATGTACAAATTTCTACATTTTGTTTATAAAACTCAAAAGTAGAGCAAATTGTTTCCACCACGCAATCGGCATACAATGAAAATGAATAAGCAAATCAACGCAGGCAAGCCTTCTCTTGCTTTTCAGCTCTGAAACTTTGAATATAGCTTTGAGGAGATTTTAAAACTCTAGCACAAATATATCATTATATAAACGATGCATTAACTCCATCACAGTACTTTGCGGACGGCAAAAGTCGAGTTTTGAGGCTCAAAATGTGCCAACCCTGTGGGAAGTTCAGACAGTTAGAAAGTGGTACGATTACATCAATGCTTTTTGGGCGCTGGACTGCAGATTTGTAAGCCCCTCATCCTTTATCCGCATGAGCTGGATGGAAGTTTGAAATCTCAGTAAAACCGGCATTTTCGAAACCGACTCGGTCCGGAGCCATTTCGAGCTACCAAAGTAGAATAAAGTTTCCCTTAAACACTATTATGTTTAGCGCATAGTATGTATCTCAAACTTTTAGATCGTGGTCTTACGTGAAAGTTTGAACGAAAAAGGTTGCAACATTGACGATAAAAGAGCTCTGATCAAGGTGTTCGTATAATTACGAACCGGTCAAAAAAGTGTTCGGCGCACAATGCTTCTCCGAATTTGATACCGGATTTTATTTTTATGCTGCATATACTGTTTTCGGCTATGCTCGTTCATATGGTACCAATGGCTTCTCGCATTTTTTTGAAAAGCCCGGTAAATGGCAAAATATGGGGAGTTCGTACGATTAAGGATGTTTTGAAAGTAAGTGCACAATTTTTAGGATGTTTTGAAAGTAAGTGCACACTGTCAGGTCGCTCAAACGTTTTGCCTCAGAAATCTTTTCCAACCATTATGCACAATAGTGTAGAGCTGAATTTTTTTGAGATTTGCAAAATAGAGCAGATCATTGATCTTTCTTCATTACTGCAAGATCACGTTAAAAAGGCTGCGTTTATACTGATCCGAAAGTTCGGGAACAGTTCCAGCACAGCGCTTGATCTGAATCGCTTGAACCGTTCCGAACTATTAGCAAGATCGCCATGCACGCTGTTCTCAGTACTTGAATTGTTGCGCGTTTGCAAAGTATTTTGAGTGGTGCGACCACATTTTTGAGGGACCTGAAATAAACATTTCAACTCAAAGCGACATAGCTCAAGCGAAGCACAAAGATCAAAAAATGTTTATATATAGAATTAGTGACTTTGATCTAGATACGAGACTAATATAGAATTTGTTTGTTTTCCTTTTCTGGCAAAATCCGGCTCTCAAAGTTCAATATCTCTCAAAGATCTGACCGTAATCCTACAATAATGAAGAGGGATCGGCGACATGCTTATGTCACAAATATAAGCTGAGGCCGGCCCCACATAATACCACAAATTGGCAAACTTTTTTGGAAGAAGTTGCAACCAGTCAAGCAATGCACATACCATAGGCATGCATTACATACTTTCGAAGCGCTGTATAAGAAATGTGCTGGAAAAAAGAAATTGAGGTCTGCCCCGTAGCACGGAAACTGCAAAGCGTAAGGCATAGAGAACTCAAGCACACAAACTTAACTAATTTTGAGCAAAACTGTCAGAAATTAGTGGATGTCGTTGAAATTAGGAACAGTCATCAACAATCTGAATGAGAAATTTTTGTGCTGCTCAAACATTTGTAAGCAATTTGTAATTTTCAGGCAACTTTTAAAAAATTTATGTTGTTGTTCTGAAGGTAAATTCAAAATTGTAGGTGGTAAGATTCATTTTAGGAGGTGTCACAGAGTTTGTGCAAGTTCTCATAGCTTCTGGCAAGCTTGCATGATCAGCATGTATTAGCGAATGGTAAGAGTGCAATTTTAAGATTTCTCAAAGGCGCCGCTTAGGCAAGTAAGTAGGGTGGGCGAGGAGGCAGCAGGGTCCAATGAGAAACGTACAGTCTCCCCCAATCCTGACCAGGCCAAAATTGGCATGGCGGGAGTCCGCGTCGCTCGGGTTTCGCGGTCACGCCCACGGTCTGCTTCTCTGTTCTCTCTTCAATCCTTTGGCTCTCTCCGTCAGCGCGTATATGCAGCGCAGACCGCTAGCGCTGCGAGCGCGAAAATTTACGTCGACGCTTCGGCCTGATTCCAATTGGAGCAGACTGTACGGGAATAGAAAGATAGAAATAAGTACACATGCAATGAGTATGTTCGGCAATGGCATGTGCGAATAAGCTGGTGATCAAGAGAACAATACCGCTCACAGAATGTGCAAAAGTAAATGTCGCGAAATTCCGAAAATTCCGCGAACTTTTCGCAGAATTCCGGAAAGTTCGCGAAGTTTCACGAAATTCCAGGAATTTCGCGGAATTTTCGTAATTTGCGACATTCACGGAAATTTTGCACATTCTGAGAGCGGATTGTAAATGGTGCGTGCAACCCCCGTTGACTCGATTCTGTCGACGCATGGTCAGCAAGATGACTGAACTCCTAGCGCGGTAGCAATCTTGCATTAGTCAACAACCGCTTTTCAAAATGAACGGGCTGCACATGCACTTTAGCAATCCATCGTCTATTAAACATCAGTAATAAAACCTCAGACAGTCGACGCCACACCTTTGGAGGGGAAAATGGGGGGGGGTTCCGGGGTCTGCCCAGCGGGGGTTTGCCACTCGTGCTCCGGAGCCCTTCCATTTTGTGCTCCGCAAGTCTGCCGCGGTATACTGTAACTAGCCCTAATCAAGCTCCAAACCCCAATTATGTCTCTAAATCTCACCCAAATTAGCTCTAGACCAGGGTCGAGCAAACGGTATTGCGTACAACCGCCGAATACAACCCCCCCCCCCCGGTAGGACTTCAGCACGACCCTCAGCCCCGTTCTCTACCTCCTCGCTCACCCCCAGCGTTTGTAGATAGCAAGTTAAAAGAATGAAGACAAGACATTTATTTCAAATTGACTGCAAAACAATTTACTGCAAGTTGCAAATGCACTTCACTTCGATATCCAAAGTGCTCATCCTTAGACTCATGATCGCCCCTCACGTTCTGATGCTTCCTCTGGATGCTTTCCGTAGGTTTCGTACATGCACTGTTCGCAGGCTAAGTATGCAGACGCCAAAAGAGCTGAAACAAGCATACGATTCTTAAACTAAGGTCTTGTGCACGCGGAAGATACAAAATCAGTCAGGAAGTGCCTATTTTGAACTTACAACTGGAAATTTCTAATGCATTCACCAATCATCCATCCTTGATGATGTTTTGCTGCTTCTTCATAGTTTAGTCCAAAATGCTGAAATAAAAAGATGAAATATTCATTGGAGAGCTACTTGTAGATGGATAGAAAGAAAAGTCAAATAAAGCCTCCAGCTACCTTCTAGCTTGCACCAGAAAAAAATGGAAAAAAGACAATATTTGAAAAAAATTCTTCAAATGATAGTAAGTTGCAAAAGCGGGAAAGAGTGACGACAACAACAAATAGCAGGTTTATTGAAGAGAAAGCGCAGGCGTTTTGAAGTTTCGAAGTGTTGTTTGGTGTACTGTAGGCGGGTCCCAGCACGATTATCAGGTCGTGAACCTGGCGTACTCGAGCTCTAGTCTCGTGCTATTTTCCTGCGTCTCTCACCATTGCCCACTATCTGAGAGGGAAAGTGAAGCTCGTGTATGAGCTCGTGAGATACGTCGTGTCTAAGGTCATGAGCTCTAGCTCGAACTTAGTTCACGAGCTGTGCTTGACGTGATTCGACGAGTGTGTTGAAAGATAGCAGGTGAGTTAATCAATGCAGTGAAAAACTAAGCTCGAGCTTATTTCGTGACTTCGTACGTCCACGTAGCGGAGATTACTACAGGCCTTGGTGTCACCGTCAGGGAAGCACAAGTTCGAAGCACACAATGGTGCAGAATTTGATGTAAAATGTACGATTTTGGCGAACGAAACTGAAATTTTTGCGAGAAAAACCTTGAAAGCCCTGTGGATTTCCATCAAGTGCCCAGGCATCAACAACAAGAATGAATGCTAAGGTTAACTAATGATCTTTTGCCCTTACTACCATTATGTGAGCAGTGGCCCTACCCATATAAGGACGTGACACACGAGTGATACTCAGTGCCGTCCATTTACAACATAAGTGTGCGGCTACCGTCCAGTACTTCGGTGCGGATTAGTAACATCGATATCGCGATAAATCAAGGGTTGGTTTCTTTTTCGACGTGCGTCTCAGTACGTTGTGCATGGAACAACGTCTGGACTCGATGAGTACGGGAATGGCGTTTGGCGGCGTAGTCTCACAGATCAGAACTGCAAACTTCTTACAGGCCTCCGAGGAAGACGGAATGTGTCGAAACGTAAGGCAGTAAAAGATTTACCGTAAAAATCTGGGCTCGGCAAAACACTCTACACATGCAAATGAAAGAAATGTTCTGTTCAATCAACACTTTGTTTTGTTTGAACACGGTGGTACTATTCTCGTATAACTTTTGTTCTGAAAAGGTTAACAAGTGGTTTTGAGACGAGGGAACTTGAGAGTGGTCTCGATCAGAGATGCCTGGTTTATGGCACTTTTAGCGTTTTCATCGTCAAAAGCAAGTATCTCACCACATCACCTCTCTGCCAATCTCATGCTCCAGTATTGGCTGTCCCAAAAGCGAACAATAAATCAAAATGTTTTGATTTTCATAGTAGATGTGGGTCACTCTTCGATAGGCCAAAACAATCTTTACAAAACGATCACAAAGATTGCTGAATCGTAATCCAGTTCGACTTTTGGAGCAGTCAAAATCAAGAAAAATTTCATCTGAAAATTAAATTTTGAGCAAGAAATCCTACAATGCTTCAGGTTGGTCGTCTTACAGAAGATACATGGTCACAGATACATATTCATCAATGCATTTGGTGAACTTTTTGCGCGTAGAGTTCAAAAAAGAGAAAGATCTAAAAGCGCCTGAGCTCCTCCGACATATGCGATTGCATAGTTAGTGCAAGCAGTAAGTATATTTTTGGGAATATATCTTTGTATGCGCTGATTGAGAAAATACCGAGCTTTACATAAAAATCCCAAAAAAAATAACATTTTCACATTTTCTGGCTTTTCAGGGCACTACCATGCAAGATTTTTAGGTTACATGCAAGATTAGATTTTCATTATTTTGTATGCTCCCCCAGGAGATCAACTCTTATTGTCAAAGTCATTTATCTTCATAAACTTAATAAAAAACGGTGTATGATTGTGCTGAGGATATAATATTGTACTGCTAAACATGTTTGTAGTACAAACAAGTGAAATCTCAGGACATCGGTATCTTTGCTGAACCACTGCTCGCCTAGGGATTATCGAAAAAAATTACAATCTTCAGATTCCTCTCCTCGAAATCATGCCTAGCACAGCATAGTGTATGACCAGTACAATTTTACACTGTTTTCATCGAGTTTTGAGGTCGAAAAATGACTTTGAAAATAAGAGTGATTCCCTGGCGATCCTTAAAGGAACACGAAGTGGTGCAAGTCTATTTTTGTATGAAAGTACCCTGGCATCCATTGTGCTCTGGGGATAATGGATACCGAGATATGAGAACCCTCAGAAGTCATATGGAAAAAGTAGAAGAAAACATCTGAATTAGCGAGATATGTGGCGTCCTTTCCTCTCATATCCCTCCCCTTACTGGAAAATGTACGTGCATAACTTAAAAGTTATTTCAGGAATTGGTTGTTGTGTGGCTCATGAAAAACGCGCAAATATGTTTAAGATAAGTGCAGTATTCTCCAATATTCAAAGTAAGCTAAATTCAAAGCAACTTATAAAGAAACTGAATGAAGAGCAGGATTACATATAGACTATCTCATTTGAGCAAAAACGTCGTTTTTCTGCAAACAATAGCTCTGTGCAGCGAGTCAACGAGATCGAAAAGTTTATCAATTAGTAGTGATTCAAATCCTTTAAGAGAATGTATGGTCGATTCGAGAAACGCAAAGAGTGGGCCCCATTGCGTCCGACTAAGATAGTTTACGCATGGGCGAGACAGCAGATGGTTAGAGGAACGAAGAACGCTTCTCAGAGAGGCAACAATACGTTCACAGTTTCTGCGTGCTATGAACCGCTTATAACGTGCAGTTGACTTGGCTGTACAGGCCTGTTTTTTAAGTCGAGTCATATGTCAGCATTTATTAGTCAAATTATACAATATGATACAATATCGGTCGCGAAGCAAGCCAAGATTTTAACAGCTGTAGCATGACAAAAAGTTTGCAGTTCATGCAAGTTTTGTCGTCAGCGGTCGGGCTTCAAACACAGTGATTTCGATATTTGTGCTGCATAATAATGAGATGAATCTAGAGACAAAAGCTCTTTGGACAAAGTATTATTTTTTCTTTTCTGAGGCCGCTGGTACATTATGGCTATTTTTGGGTCCCAAGTGAGCGCTCTCTGCTACCTTTCTCCCACTATTGAGATCATGTATGGGCAGAATTTTTGGCGAAGTGAGGGTTGGCTTATTCGTAAACGTGAACGCACACAAATGGTAATAGAGGGGATCAGCACGCTTCAGCGCTGAAAACTTACGCAAATATCAGCCTTATGGCCTGCCGCAGGGTTTGGCGCAAGGAAAAGAAACGAGAGTTTGAATCTTTCTTCTTCTCGTCTCCTAACTACGAATTTTCCTATCTAATACAGATAACAAGGCTTGCAAAATGTCCAACCTCCAAAAACTCTAATCAGGGTTTCTGATCGTTTGATAGTTGTGCTCAACCGATATCATTCTTTTAGTCGTCAGAAAAAGAAAATGCAAGTGATCCAAATAGCAAGCAAAGGTTGAGGATGCTTCATTTATAGTCTTTTACCTACCATACGTTGGTGCACTTCCCTAAGATCTTGGTGATTCGCTTCTAATTTGAATTGCTGGTTTAGGAGCAAGGATGCAATCTGTGCTTACACAAAACAGCTGCAGCCTCATGGTTCCGCTATATTGTATACTGTATGTATCATTATCCGAGACAGCTGAAACAGTTACGCTGAGTGAGTTTAGAAAGCAGTTAAGGCTTTGGTTTCTGAGTGGTTTGGGGTCAACAAAAGTGCTAAGCATATAGATTTTAAACAAAAAATTTTCATCAACTGCTACGATAAGACATTTAATTGCTTTGTTTTGGCAAGGCAAGAAGTGTGTCAGTTGGTGCGGAGAATCAGTGGCTGCGATTTTGCGCGCTCTTGTTATCGCATCAAACTATATACTGCGAGCGCAATTATTGAAAATAATTTATTGCATTTCAAAGTATGTACGCGTATTTTCTCCAGGATCCCACAATACCATAATTGATTGTGGATCTCATGGGTATGAGTTTTCACAAGCCACGTCTTCCTTAGGAAAGGAGGGTTAGGGTTTTGTTTGGCGAAAACAAGTTTTGAGCTTACTACTCATATTGAAAATTGAAAATGGAGCAGTTTGCGGGCTCTGAAGGTAAATGGGTTTGTGGGGTATAACACTACAAAAGCTTGAGCATCGAGCATAGTTCACGCCATTTCGTTGCCTTACAATTCTCTTGACAAGACAACTGTTAATGAGTTCATTGCATGCCGAACACCTTGGCCCGTAGTAATCCACCCCGCATGTTGGCATAAGACATGGCGGCAAGCTCGCGAACTTCATGACAAGCTCACGATCTGGCCGTGAGCTGCAGCTTCCTGATATCACAACGTAATGTGAGATTGATCGCAAAACCATTGCACTTTCACGGGATAGAACTCTTCTCTGGTCAACGAGAGTCAGCACGTTAGGCATTGAACTACACGTGTACATTACCATATTCCAGAGAGTGTAATCAAGCTTAGCAGTCAACTTGCATCAAGATGTTCATAAAATCGCACCTGTGGACTGCTGAGCTGACCATTCGTGTGAGGGTCGATTTTCTCCCAAACCTTCTCTGACAAATGGCAGAGCAAACTGAACACAGACAATAAAGGTTCGCGAAACATAACCATTTCTTGGCAGGCGCGTCACCTGCTAGCAACGCGCAGTCCGTCTGTTCAGTACAAAACAATGCCCATCCACGAGACCACTAGTAAAGCATAACGTTCCACTACGAACGTCAAGTGTATTGCAAGCAAACTTTTGTGGGAGGAAACAGACCTTATATAACGGCAAATTACAAAATCAAAGCAACAACAAGATTTGTGAAAAGAAAGAACTTCAAAACTATATCGGATACCGAAAATACTACTTCTTTTTAGAACCGTACAACTCAAATTCAATGTAAAGTTGGGAACTAACTTTGCTCTTGTTGATATGTTTCGGCCCAGAACGGCATTTGCAAGTAAGGCTTTTCAACAACTGTGTAGCTGGTGGTATGCAGTGCCATGAACAAATCCGACCCCCGAAAAAGGATGGAAAAAAGAATATATGTACTAGAGAAGCTGCTTAACCAACGGAGTTCGTATCCAGATTAATCCCGTCAACAAGTGCGGTTCACAAGTGGCTTTTCCAGTAGTAAGCCGATTAGCTAGAAAGCATTCAAGCGCTGAAAATTGCCGATTGCTATCGTTCTTGATCTCCCGCCAAATAAGAAAGCGTTTAGAATCCGAACATGGCGGTCGCACGAGGCCTGAGAGCCTGACTGAAGGGCCGGGCAAACATCACGCGATTTCATCGCGCGATTCGTCCAACGAGACAACTGCTACAAGGTCATTGCCTGCTAATCATCTTGCACTTCGGTTGTGACCGTTTCCCGACACGACTAATCGCAACTATCTATCATAGCCGAAATGCAAGATGACCAGCATGCAATGAACTCGTAATAGTTGTCTGTTGTAAGAATCGCGAAGCGATGAAATCGCGTGATGTATCCCCGACCATTAAGGCACAGCCAAGCGGTAGCGCGGATTGTGTGGACTCGCTGATGAGTTATTTGTCCACGAACAAACCGTACAAAACCGCTCAATATTTCGACGCGACGACCACCTGAAATAAAGAGACTTCACCGTAACGTGGTCATCTCTCGCCACGGCATTATTCGATTCAGCTCGATGAGGCGCATCTTCTGACATAGAGGTGCCTGTTTGAGTGCGGCTATGTGCGTGGTGAACAGCCAGATTTTACAAATGAGCACAACTGCTTACGATAGTAGGCCAGTTGCAGTGATTAAACACACGAAGTAATTTACCCCAAGCAAAAACCTGAAAAGAATTGCGGAATCTGGCTGCTTATATGCGACTGTAATTGAAAAGGCACTCATTTGTATCAGAATGCGCCTTGTCAAGTGAATTAATGGTGCCATTGGATTCAGATTTCGTCCGCAAACGAGATATGGCCACCTATGATGATGTCATCTGACTCAGAGACCATCAAGTCTCCTTTTTGCAAATTTTTGAGTGACAATGCATTTAGCGGACGACTTGCATGCCACTGCTTGAGGGTCCACTGATCTCGTGATAGGTTCTTACGTTAGACAAAACCCTGCAAGTCGATGCGAATCGTCTGTTAAATACGACACGGGAAACGAGTCCTAGAGACTGTCTTCAAACTATGAATAGTTGCCCGCGTCGTCTATCAACACTGGGTAAGCAAGCCCTGAAGGAGGCGACGCAATAATCGGAGCAGCTGCAATAGTGAAATAGTGATGCTCCATTAAAAGCCATCAATTCAAATATTACGAGCAGCGAAGGAGGAGAGGCGGAAGCGGAAGCGGGGAGCGCGGAGCGGAAGCGAACGAAGCAGAAGCGCGAACGCCTAGAACAAATCACATATCTCTGTGGATTATAATCTAGTGCCAGCTGTCCGCAAGCTGTCGCCCAGCTCCAACACTAGAGCGCCCGTGTTCTTTACAAGCAAGCTAGCGTGACTACGACTATTATGCAACACGAGAGAATTCATTCGCGAATACAGGAAACATACAAAAACTCCAAAGCAACAATGCTTGGAAACGAACAAAAGCACCCGCCATACTTGATCCTCTTAATCCACTTGATCCACTTCGTGAAACGCGCACACAGTAGTTTGTCATTTAGCGCCGCGTAGCTAGAAAGGAACTCTGTATAGTTACGCAAACTCGCTATACGCGACGCCAAATGACAAGTTGCTGACGCGCTTTTGCACGAAGCGGATGAAGATAGTGGATCAAGAGGATCAAGTATGGCGGGTGCCAAAAAGGCAACAAAAAAGGTGTAGGTACTCTGGGAGAATCTATAACAAGGCTGGGTACAAATATGCAAAACTGACTGATGATAAACATACAATATGAGAGGCACCATATTCAAATCGTCTTTTAAACCTGTAAATGCTCCAGGACAGCCATCAGAGAAGCCGCAGACATTGCTAATGTTATGAAATAATTACATAACGGATCATAAGTCTTTGCGCGACCAAAGCTTCTAATATGCTTGAAATTGGGCAAAATACCGAAGCATCTGCGCATTGAAATGACCTAAAAGGATGTTAGTAAAAGTAAAACGAAAAGTCGTCAAAAAGGCACCTCATCTCGTTGAACTATTGATTGCCTCTGACAAGAAGACTGCATCACCACAGCAAAAGACGCAAATCAACGCATTTGCACTTTTGTTCTCGCGAGAGCCCACTGTCACCACCTGAACAACAGGAGAATAATGAAAACTACCTAACCGAGCAAAAGAAACCAGAAAGAAGATGACTTCAAGAAATGCAACTATTTCCTTTAAATTTATCATATGCTACTTACCTTTTCGTTGGTTGTGGAACAGTTTGACTTAAGGCGTGAGGGTCAGACCTGTCTTCCAACCTAAGGAAACGGCCATAGGTTGTCGGTGTTGTCGATGTTGTCGGTTTATCGGGCTTGCCGAGGTTGCCAATCGTGTAGGACCTCATGATAGCCTCCACGTTTCGCGCCATAATGCCTACAAAGTGCGCATAAGTGACCGGCACCAGAGGCTTAACTATTTGTTTACGTGCAAATTTCACCGCGTTCCCTCAGCAGCGCAAGCTCACTTTATCGAGCGGAAAATCTGCTCGATTGCGTACGTCAAGTGCACAGATAACTGAGATTGGACCTGAACACTTCTGACACACATTTACCAATCAAATAACAAAACGTGGCCGACAAAATAGAATGACAGCAATTCAAAACTAGCAATGAACAATGATATGACTGAACAAAAACAATTATATTTGAAGTGGAAATTTAAAGCATTCTTACCTGACAAATTGAAGTCGTAGTTGTGAGGATATCTTACTGCTTTTCGGCACGTGAATGCACCGCGTTCATTTTATTCTCATCCGAAGACATCAAAGAAAGCATCATTTTTATATGTCTGAAAATATCCGGCTGAGATTACTTAAGAAAGTCCATCAAAACAGCAGATTTTGTACATCGGCGCTCGCTACAATTAAACGGTCAAGCAATCAACAAAAGTGTTTCAAAGTTGTTAATCACATGAGGGTCTGCCTTGGGAAGGAAAGTATCGAAAACCACACCCATCGCAAAAAGCATGATGTAGAAGCAAAATCATGACTTTCCGTGTGCTTATGAAACTTTTAAAAGACTGCCTTTCCAAGAAACTGCTTTCCTGAGAATAACGAATTATCTGCGTAGAAAAACCATCATTCCAAAGTAACTTCAAGAACATAACTGGTAGTGATGACATGAATAGAGTCACCTAAAGTTGATAAGGTTTGCCCTCCTGAGAGAAAGTCTAGTCCAAGATGAACGCGACCGGCCATGCGAGCTAGGCGTGAGGCATCGTTCAGACCGCGTCGGTACCCGCCCGTATCCGCCCAAATACCTCTGAACCCGCACAAAGTCCGAACGCGCCTGAACCCGAAACCGACAGAAAACTGACAACCGTGTGGCTGTTCAATTGAGAATTGTAACAAATATAAAATAGACATACACCGACATGAATTTTGAGACCAGCAAAAGCTCAGATAAACTCAAAACTCGTTGTATCTTACAACAAACTCAGAAAAACTTAGAAAAACCCATCATGCCAGCGATTTTTGAACATTTGTGACTGTTTTGGGTGACAAGTATACCCCAGTTGCAAAAGAGAAACAT